CGATTCCTGTTGAAATATTCAGATGGTAGAGTCAATTTGGCGTAAACAGATTGAGAATATGGATCCATCATGCCTTGTTACCACTGTGCAGGCTGTGCAGGCAGGGTGTGGGGGATGTTTTCTTGCCACACTTTAGGCCCCTTAGTGCCAATTGGGCATCGTTTAAATGCCACGGCCTACCTGAGTATTGTTTCTGACCATGTCCATCCCTTTATGGCCACCATGTACCCATCCTCTGATGTCTACTTCCAGCAGGATAATGCACCATGTCACAAAGCTCGAATCATTTCAAATTGGTTTCTTTAACATGACAATGAGTTCACTGTACTAAAATGGCCCCCGCAGTCACCAGATCTCAACCCAATAGAGCATCTTTGGGATGTGGTGGAAAGGGAGCTTCATGCCCATATCCATCCCAAAAATCTCCATCAACTGCAAGATGCTCTCCTATCAATATGGGGCAACATTTCTAAAGAATGCTTTCAGCACCTTGTTGAATCAATGCCACGTATAATTAAGGCAGTTTTGAAGACGAGAGGGGTCAAACACAGTATTAGTATGGTGTTCCTAATAATCCTATAAGTGAGTGTAGATCTAATTATGAGAATAGATATACACAAAGGCAGCAAAAACCTATAAAAATTATTACTTTCATAATTGACTTATTGACTTATACAATAGTTTTGTATAAAAAAATGTATTTTAAGGTTTAGCCTATAAAATTCAGTTCAAGTCACATTTATTTGTATAGCGCTTTTCACAATATACTGTATATATATATATATATATATATACTGTATATATATATATATATATATATATATATATATATATTCAAAAGCGCTTTATACAAAACGATCTATTATCATAGGTGGCTGTGTCCAAATAATGTCCATATTTCAGAAAGGTGTAGGCCTAGCCTACAGTTCCAAGTTTATTCAAATCACGTAATTAGCTAACAACATCAAGTAGGCCTATTGATTTTAGGCAGACGCAATGAGCTCATACGATCAAGTTGTGATCGTAATAATTACAATATCTAGAACATTTGGCAGTTGTGTATATTGATTCAGAGTTGCGTCACCTGAGGTCCTTGCAGGAGTTAAACACAGGTTTCCTGTTTACAAACATTACAGGGTGCGTGCACATACCATAGGCAGAAAGCCAGATTGGTGAGCTGGTCCGCTAGGGCAACAACCTTAAGTATTGAAGTTTTCCTTATTGTTTGTGTATAACAGCTGACTCAATAAAACGTTATTGGGTGTTCAGGCACGAAGTGCTGAAAACCTATTGTATTTGCTAGAAAGAAAAAAAAATCCCCTAAAACGCATCGTGCAGCCCAAACCGTAAGGGCTGGAGCTGTGAAACTTTGTCAGATGGTAGGGCCTCGAATTGTGGAGAAGCTATCAGAGTATGACCCCGATTGGCCCATAGGTGGCGCTACAGCAACCAAAAGTACTAAATTGCTCATAACTCCTAGACCGTTTGACTTAGCTTCAATGTTTTTACACCACTGTAATCCCTGACTCAAGACGGACAAGATGTATATCTCGGATTTCCATTTGGAGCAAAAAAAAAAATTGTTATTTTGGTTTTTGTCCAAAACCCACTTTTGCGAACTAGTCCCTGGTTTTTTGCCCGATCGGGACCAAACCAGTCTAGGCCTATTCTCTGGACTCTCTAGATCAATAATTATCGAAAAAAAGTTGAAATTTGGCATTTGATTGGCTGTAACAGGCTCATTTAGATAGTGGTCTGTGGCAAAATTCAGTCAAAAGCCCCTAAATCCCCCCCCCCCACAAAGTCACAACTTCACAAAAATCGGTGAGCATATGTGTCCTAACATGGTTAGGAAGCATGCAAAGTTTCGTGAGGATCGGATCATAGGTGGCGCTAAAATCGTCAAAAAGGTCTCTCATTATTAGGTGTTCAGGCACGAAGTGCTGAAAACCTATTGTATTTGCTAGAAAGAAAAAAAAAAATCCCCTAAAACGCATCGTGCAGCCCAAACCGTAAGGGCTGGAGCTGTGAAACTTTGTCAGATGGTAGGGCCTCGAATTGTGGAGAAGCTATCAGAGTATGACCCCGATTGGCCCATAGGTGGCACTACAGCAACCAAAAGTACTAAATTGCTCATAACTCCAATTTTCCAATAAAAAATGACTATTATCCTGAAGTTGAAAATGAGTGTGTGAACTAAACTGTAGTAAATCATATTTTAACATGTTAAATTATGATAAATCATATTGGAACATGGTTAATTATGTAATATCAAGCTGAAATGTAGTATATCATGATAAATCATGCCTGCTACATAGAACTTAATGTCTTTTGATGCTTTTGTGCTTAAATGCCTTAAAGACCTGAACACCGATAAATGCTGCTTGCAGCTTTAATTTTAGTTGGATCTGTTTGTCTGTCTTTAAACTGTGTTATACTGTGATATAGTATACCTAACAACATAACACATTTGGTTTCCACAAATTCGCAGGAGACCGCTTGATCCTGAATAATACGGTCCATGTTACATTTAACCCCGCGTTAATTGTGCCCCGCGCTCCCCTAGGCCTGCTATGAAGTCATGTCAAGTAATGTAGGCCTAGTTAGTCTGAATGTTAGCAGTGCAGCATCTACTGGACAGTCCGAATTTGTAGGCTACTTAATATAAATTACGTTCCGCTTGTTTACGTTAAAGACCCCACCACCAGCCCACAAACACGTATTTATTTATTTTTTCTGCCTACCTGGTGCGTGGATGAATGACCAAGCAGTGATGATGATGTTGCCTGTCTCTTCACAGGTGTTCATCTGAAATCTTCAGATGGGTTAGCTTCTCCAGTGGAAACACAGAAACCCAGATGGAAAATAACGTGCAAGATATTTTATAGATATTTTATAGTTTTGAGCCATTCCACCGAAAGGGTGACATTCCTGTCGCCAGGACATTGTATGTGTAAAAATGCATGAAAATTAACTCTAAAATACATTTTATTATTAATCAAAATGTCCTGCACGTATGCTAACTACAAATTTAAAATGTATAATTAAAAACATTAATAAAAACTACATAGAACACAAAAAAATTGCATTTTCTGCATTTTCACTCAGTCCTGTAACCCTAACACCCCCCCCCCCCCTCCCCAGCCCTGAAAAACTTGGAATATTCCACAAGACACATTTTCAACAGGAAGTTGCATCATCTGGATATACTGTAGTAAATCGGAAGACCATAAGTAAGTCCTCACTATTAAATTTCTGTATATTTGATGAAATTGTAACTATGACTGAGAAGGTCAATCTCAACATGCTGTACCAACGCATTTGGGCTGGCTGTACTGTTACCTAAATTATTTCTTAGATATTATTCATTTATTTTAAAAATATAAACTTTAGGTGAATCACTAGAATTTGGTACGTGTCCTTATGCTATTAGCGTGTATGCTATGTGGCCATATGTCATGTATTTGATAACTTTTTGCTTAAAAACTCAATCCCGTTACTTTCAGTCCTGTTACTTGTATGAAAAATAACAGGAGTGAGTTAAAGTAACAGAAGTGAGTAGAGTCCTGTGTTTTGTTGATTTAATACTGTAAATATTAGTTGACATAATACTATTCACCTGAATTATGAGGTTTGAGGTTGTATTCACATAAATTGTAGACATTAGTAGTTTTACAATGTGAACACCATACTTCTAGCCAGTCCACCACAAAGTGACTTAAACGTTTTGTCTTTGTATTTCTTATATTTTGTAGAAGATGGATAAACCCCATACTATGTAGATGCCAGAAACACCCACCTATGGCATGCTGCACTGGGAAGAAGCAAGGCACCTGCAACCCTCTCTTTTCTCCCTTTTTTTTTGTCTTAACTTCCCTCATTCTCCCTCCATCTCTTCTTCTCTCTCTCCTTTTTTCTCTTTCCACCTCCTTCGCTGTGAAGTACTACTAGCACATAGTAAATCACTTCAACACAGAAATCTTATGCACACATAATCATATACACTCTCTCTCATACACACACTGTCATGTACAGTATCCCTCATACACACTCATTTAGACACTCATTCCTGTTACCTAATGTTCATTCATGTTACTATTTTTTTTTCTAAAAAATTGATGTTAAACCACTGTTTTTAACAGTTTTGTTTGGTCCATCATTTATACATTTGTTTAATACATTAAATTATTTAAAAAAAATTATAAACTTGAGGCTTCGGTTTTCTTTAAAGTGAAAAAATGGCTATATGTTTTACATTAAAATAGCTACACCTTGCCTTAATATACGTATAGTGATTTTTTTTTGTCACAAATATCAATTATTTGAACATATAACCAACAATTTCTTTAAAATAAACACTTTCTTGTGGGGAAAACAAAGGAATTAATAGGCATGCTTTTAAACATGCTTTTTAAATGGCACGAGTTTCGGTAACAGGACTGAGAAAACATGCGTCCATAGTCTGCTTAGAAACCTTGTAAAAAATTAAATAAAGTTGCCTGAGATGGACCAATGCACATTTTGAATAGTTAAATATGTGTAGTAATAGATTCAATGTTGAAAAAAAAATAAAATGAAGGTTTATTTTTGAAGATTTACAACAAGCAAATGTCACCCATTGGGTGGAATGGCTCTTTTAGCAGTGTTTGTAGCCTAGTCATTTAGAGAAAATGAGCATAACATGATTATTGCTCCATCAAGTGGTGATGTTATGACAAAACAAGCTATACCTGACCGGCTATTTTTTTCCCATTTTGATCAAACTGTATTTTATAAATGGGACTTAATCATTTTTTAATCAATAATTTTTTTAATTATTATTATTTTTAGTTTCATCTTTTGTAAACGTTTTAGCCTGGTGTAAAATAACGTTGAAGTTAAACACAATGTCTGTCTACAAAACAAATAGCCTTTATTTAATTTAGTGATTTGCAGATGTTTTGTGGTTTGGGATAAGACAGGGGGTGGGATCACAGTTCTCCTCCCATCATAACATGAACTTGAGCATTGGGGCAAAAGCAGCTGTAGCCTGCTGAAATGATGATGAAGCACTCGATCCACTGAAGAGAGCTCGTGGAAGGACGCAGCATCACGTCTGTTAAACCCGTGACTCGAACAAGTGCGCTCGCTCAACACAACTTACCCAAAAAGACGCAATGATCAACACCCAAGCAAGGTAAATAGTCTAATAGCCGTTTTTTTTGTTTGTTTGTTTAGTTTTGTTTTTGCTTAGGTCAGTCAGTGCACAAGAGCATCAGCTCAGAGGCTGATGTTTAGAGCATCCTGGCTACATTTCCGAAATGGTTTGGCGTTAGAGACCGTCAGTGCACTTCACGTAGGCTATAATCTCCTTAATTGTCTATTCATAAGGCAAACCGTTTTGTTTTATTATTTATATTAGGACGTATTGGCAAATAAAACTAAAGGAAATGAGCTGGACTAGAGTGTACATAAATGAAGAAAATGCTATTGCAACTTTCTGTAAATATGGTAGTAAATATTCATATCTCATTTACAGTCTCTTGAGTTTCAGACTGTGTTATTTGTCATGACGGTGTTAGTAGCATGCTACTAATACCGTTCATAGAGAAATAACACAGGACAAATGTGTGCGGTCCGTAGCGTTACTGATGATGTAAGAACATGATGCGCATCATGTTCTTACATCATCAGCAGTTCGCTACGGACCACACACATGTGTCCTGTGTTATTTCTCTATCATTATGGTGTCTGATCTGATCTCTAAGTTTATTGCAGGGATGTAGGCAAATTTAAAAACCGTGGTAAAGAGAGTGAGTGTGTGTGATCCATACAACACGGTCGACTTCGGTGTCAAGAAAACTGCGCGCGCGACCTCCAGCGGGACGTTACGCAATAATGCTCGAGCTCACAGCGGGGCCATTTCCAAATAATAATAGACCTAATGATAGAATAAAAGCGACAGTTAATAAAGTTATTAAGAGCAAAGTAGGCTAAACATCTAAAGTGAGGTTTAGGATTAAGGGATAGAAACTATTAGTCAAGAAAATAAATGCTTTAGGATATAGCACAAACAAATAGATAGATATGTAAATGTGTAATTAAATCTACATTGTAATCATGCAGTGTTGAACACCGTTCATTAAGGCAAATGGGAGTGGCCATTTGTGTGTTGTTCAACATGAATTTTGTACAATAAACTCAAAGTTCAAATTTCTCTCTTGTGTCTATGCAGAGCTGTGCTTCTGGATTCAGCTTGTGTGCTCCGCTGGGTCAGGCGGCAGGCTCCAGGGCCTCAGTGGTGCTCCTGATGCCCCTTACCCACAGATGAACACAGCTGGACAAGACATGAGCCGGGATCTGCCTCGAGATGTGCTCCTTTACAAGGTGAGGATGTCACCAACTCACAATGGTGATGCTTAGGCCTATACAAAAGTCACATAAATATTATCTTAACTGAGACAATCTATTTAGCACTATGTAATGCTTACAAGCTTACGCGGACAAGCTGTCTCACATGAGGTGAGGTCACAGCAACAGCAAGCCAGAATGATCCAATCGCTTCCTGGTGGACAAAATCAAGTCCTGCCCTACATTTTGTTTTTCCCCATTTGAGAAGCCGTTTCACTCCAATATAAAAAGACTCTAAACAGAGTCTAAACAGCTAACTTCTGTTTGTGTTTTTGAGAGGAATGTGAGTGGTGATATTGGGCTGATGGGAAATTAAAGATGAGTGTAAAATGATGTGGCGATTGCTTTTTTGTTGTTGTTAATTTTTTTTTTCTTTTCTCTTTCATTATTTCATGCAGGATGGGAAGTTAACCGTGAAACAGGCAACCTCACTGGACAACGAATCATCCATTCTGATATTTCAGTATCAGCTAAGTGAGCAGTTGTCCTGGAGCATGCAGACTGTGCTCTCTGGCCATAGCCTGTTTGTTGGTTTACCAAATGGAGAACTTCTCAAAGGCACCAAAGAAGGGTACGTGATAAGTATGGGCTGCACTGTATTCCTTGTTGAACATTTCCCTACTGAAACAATAGACTGCTGTTATGCAATATTGCGCCTGTATAATGCAGTGTTATTTTAGTATTTTTTATAAACATAGCCATAATTTACCAGTGGGACATGTCACCACCCCCACTTTTTGCCAGGGTTGATATTGTCCCCACCACTTTTTAAAACGTTTTGTGGTACGGATATAACTAATACAAAGTAAACATCTCCAAATGACTATAAAATTATTATTGTCAATCATTTGTGTAAAAACTGTCCCTTTGGTTTTAAAAATTCTAGCACCAGACTTTTAGGACACATGAACATCACATGCAGGCTATGTAGAATATTTATTAATTGACTAAAGACTCTTCGGACAAAATATAGTAGATGTAGAATGAAGGCACTATGTTGATAAATTAAACTCAGTGCAATTGAAATTGATTTATGGACATTGTAATGTTTTTTTGGTGCATTTGTCATTGCACATTTCTGATATAGCCTTGTATTAGCAACATGTATGCATATGAAACAAAATTTAGGGGATAGTTCTTGTCAGATTTTATTGCTGATTTGAAATATGTTTTTAAAAGTTTGGCAAGCTTTTTCATACTTCCCCATTCAAGTAGATAGGAGTTGGTCTTCCATGTCCGAAATAGCCCAGAGGCGTTAGAAATGTGGACTCAGAGTGAACAGATGTTTCTTAAAAGGGACTTTTGAAAGTATGTTTTCTTTTTTCTCTTTACTCCTGAAGGCTCACTGCGGTTTTGGAGTTTGCAGAGGAGAAATTGAAAATCAATCATGTATTTGTGTGGTTCCTGAAGAACAGGCCAGATAAATGTAAGTTCTGGATGAGTGGATTTGATGTGCTGGAAATGGTAAGACTTTTGGTTTGGGTCTTAGAGTTATACTGTAGAAAGTATCACAATACATTACATCATTATAAATAGCAGCCTTTTAAGCTATTGTCATGAGAAATTTTATACCCTTAAACTCTGATGGTTTTTTTTAATAAAGTTGCCATTTGTTCTTGTCTCTTCCACAGTGCTCCTTACCAGAGCATTCTGCTACCTTGGCTTTGAGCTTGTTAAACCAGATCATCTTATAGCATCTATTGCAGGAGATTTGCGTCTTATGGTCTACGATATTCAACAAACTCACTCATCTGAAGAATAACTAAAACATACACAGATAGTCTATAGACTGTTGCTAACTGGACTAAACCAACAATATCAGGGTTATTGTGAAAAATGTACATTGCAGAGGGCCATTGAGGCTACTGCGAAAAGCAAATCAGTAACTGCAAAAACAAAGTATAATAATTCAAAGTATGGGCTAATTTGTTTGCCTCAAGAAACACGCCATTTCATACTGAACATTTAAATTGTGTGTTCAAGGTATCAAAACAGCAATAACTGGGTTGTTGTATGTGACAATGACTCAAAATGACTCAAATAACATGCCTGTGATATTCATACTTAACAGTAATTCCTATGTAAATGGTAAATGGTAAATGGACTGCATTTATATAGCGCCTTCATAGACCTAATGGCCACCAAAGCGCTCTACAGTTTGCCTCACATTCACCCATTCATACACTCTTTCATACACCGACGGCGGTGTCAGCCATGCAAGGCGCCATCCAGCTCGTCGGGAGCAGCTGGGGTTAGGTGTCTTGCTCATGGACACCTCGACACTTGGTCAGGTGGAACCGAGGATTGAACCACCAACCTTTCGGTTCGTAGACAACCCACATGAACCACTGAGCCACTGCCGCCCCAGCACATGTACTCTGTGGCCACTTTATGTAAAATGAATTATAGCAACACCTGCACCTGCATGCTGTAATAAGAACTTGTTTTGCATTTTATGAATCAGTCAGTGACAGTCTCTCAGTAAAACTACAAATAAAGAAAAGTTAAAATAATTGAACATACTGAAATTTTAATTATGCATGATTTACTCCTCACAAAGAGATATCAATTGTTAATGAACGTGTCAGTTTTTATTATTATTATTATTATTTTTACATATTTTTCTCACAACACAAGACAGGGAACATACCAACTTCCAAAGCCATACTTTAAAAAATTGAAATGAGCAAGAAATAAAATGGAATAGAGTTTTTCAAAGATGTAAAAGAGGCAAATAAAAAAAAGCAAATATTTTATCACAGAGGGGAGCATATGTTTTCTGTCTTTCTACTTTGAAGTATTTAAAACTTATTAATCACAAAATCATGAAAATACAGGAAGGTTTGTCATTTCTTTTCCCTTTCCCCATCAAAATGTACCATATTCACAAGGTAAGAAAACTGGGGATTCAAAATATTCTTATAAAACCTTATAAAACCAAGGGAGGCATATATTGCAAATACAATATTGAAAAAATAACGTAAAATCACTCAATATCTCAAGTCTTGTCCACAGATGTTATTGTTCATTTGTTATTAATGCATGAGCAAAATATAGTTGCAAAATAAAGAACAAGAAACCAAATATAATATGGGCGCACTTTTGTGGAGGTCATTTCACCAAATATTTCTTAAATTGAATGCCTGCTTAGCTTTTACTAAGTGATTTAAACCTGACATTGATCGAGGTCATTTGTAGAAACACAATGGTTTTATGGAAGGTAAGATAGACTGGTTGCAACGTAACGTTACCAAGCCAGTCTGTTAGCCGGTGCGCTTTATATTCATAAATAACAATAATAGCATACTAAAACATCAGTAACGCGTGAATCATGACACTTGCCGGTTTTCTCATGAACATAAAATGCATAAATATTTATGAAGACAATGTTTTTTGTTTGTTTTGTTTTTCCAACACCCCGGTCGATGCACTTTAACCTTTAATGGAGAGGCAGATCACCGTGCTATGATTGGTCAGTTCAATGGAGTGACGCAGACAGCGTCATATGCCGACATCACCATCATTCACTACCGTACCGACCTGATCTACCATTCTGTCCAGTGAGCGTCTCTCTTTCTGCTACTGTCCTGTGCTGAACATGTACACAAATGTTAACCTAAATATGCTATATGACTGAATCATCTCTGCTGCACGGTAAGACGTTCACTGGTGTTGTTGACGTGTAACCAAGCTGAGCTCATAGATAATAAAGCTGAGCCCGGCAATCTATTGAGCCACATGAGATTTGCGCTAACTAGCCACTAAGTTAACGTGTTACATATGCTATTAAAGCGTTATTAAAACGTCTGAACTATCTGATTCGTCGACCCTGACACTGATTATCTGAACATAACATCAGAGAGCAGTATTGTGTTACAAATATTGTGTTGCAGTCTGTGGTTAACACCAGCACCGGTAACGTGAGTTACAGAAAACCTGCAGCAGTTAGCTCAGGAATGTTGACTGAAAGCTAATGAACACTAGCTGTGTGGCTCTGTAAAGAAACAATGCTTACTGGATGTTTGTAAGAACTATTTGAGCAAACTATTACAGCTTCAATCAGAAACAATAATCTTAAAGGGACCGTTCAAATGAATGTTCAGTCATCATTTGCTTACTCTCATGTCGTTCCACTTTCATACATAACTTTCATTCCACTTTTCAACATAAAATAACATCTTGAGAAATGTCTCAGTATTTTTTTATTATTGTTCTCTCGGATCATACAGCTTTGATGTAGAGACTGTGATTTAGAAGTTCCTTGAATTTGGATGACCAGATCCTCATGAAATTTTTGACCTTATTAGTTTAAAGGGATAGCTCCTTTACTTGCTCTCAAGTGGTTCCAAACCTGTGTGACTTTCTGTCTTCTGTTGAACACAAAAGCGGATGGCTGGTAACCCAACAGTTGATGGCACTCGTTGACTTCCATAGTAGGTAGGTAAAATAAAAACACAGTATGGAAGTCAATGGCTATTACTGTCTGGTTACCACCATCATTCTCTAAAATATCTTCTTTTGTTTTCAACAGAAGAAAGAAACTAGTTTGAACAAAATGTGGGTGGGTAAATTATGACAATGTCCATGTTAGGGTGAACTATCCCTGTAATTATTCAAATTTAAAAGGATTAACTCAAAAATGAAAATTCAGTCATCATTTACTCAGCCTCTTCTTATGGAAACTTGTTTCCTCCAGGTAATAAAAATAATAGTAGTAATAATAATAAAAGTAATTGTAACTTTTTGTCTCACAATTATGGCTTTTTCTCACATTTGTTAGTTTATATCTCATAATAAAGAACTAAGAACTTGCAATTGCAAGTTTATATGTTTCAATTCTGAGAAAAAAATTCATAGATGTAAAATATAAACTAGAAGTGAATGGTGACTTAGGCTGTCAATGCTGCCTCTACTTTTGTGTTCCCCGGAAGAAAGAAAGTTTGTCCCTTGAAGATGTTTATTCATCCCCTGTTATTTCCCAGGTGCCCTGGGACGGATGTTGGGCGCTGCAGGCAGGAAACATGCAGCAGAAGCGCAACATTCAGATCATAGAATGGGAGGACTTGGACAAACGCAAGTTCTACTCCTTTGGAGTATTCATGACCATGGCCATCCGTGTCACGGTCTACCCGGCCACGCTGATCCGCACCAGGCTGCAGGTTCAGAAGGGGAAATCTCTCTACACTGGGACCTACGATGCCTTCTGTAAGATTCTAAGAGCCGAAGGGCTTAGAGGACTTTACAGGGGCTTCGTGGTGACCACGTTTACACTCATATCAGGACAGGCTTACATAACCACTTACGAACTGGTAAGGAAATATGTTTCCAACTATTCTAAGGACAATACGCTAAAGTCATTAGTAGCAGGAGGCTCAGCGTCACTGGTGGCCCAGACCATTACTGTTCCCATAGATGTCGTATCACAGCACCTCATGATGCAGGGCCAAGGGGAGCATCTGACCCGCTTTAAAATTAAACCCGAAGCAAAGCACTCTGTATTTTTCGGCCAGACGAGATACATTATTGGGCAGATGTTTGCTGCAGATGGCATTCGTGGGTTCTACCGAGGATATGTGGCATCTCTCCTCACATACATCCCCAATAGTGCTGTTTGGTGGCCGTTCTACCACTTCTATGCAGGTACGAAATGTAACCATTGTAATGACCTTAAGCTTTGCATTTTTGGGTCAATATACACTACCATTCAAAAGTTTAGGGTCAGTAAGTTTTTTTACTGAGGAAATTAATACTTTTATCCAGCAGAGATGCATGCAGTTGTTCAAAAGTGACAGAGCAAAGACACAGCTTAGAAAATTCTATTTTAAATAAATACTTTTATTTTGAGCATCCTATTAATCAAAGACACCTAATTTAAAAAAAAAAAAAAGAAGAATCACAGTTTCCACAAAAATGAGGCCGCACAATTTTTGGTAACGCTTCCTTTTACAGTCCAGTTACCCATGTAAATACTATATGTACTTATTTTAGTAACTACAATTACTGGGTAATAACTAGTACTAACCCTGAACCTACCCCTGTTCCATGTACTTACCTTATATTAGCCAGTACTTTCTAGGTAAGTACACTGTAAGTACTGTACTGTAAAAGGAAGCGTTACCCAATTTTTTTTTCAGCATTGATAATTAGATTATAATTATTTCCCCCTTGCAGCCAATCAGTGTTATTGAATGATCAGCATTAGAATGATTTCTAAAGGATCATGATGCTGAAAATTCAGCTTTGTGATCAAAAGGATAAATTACATGTATTAAAACTGAAAATGTTTTATGTAAATTTTTATAATATTTCACAATGTTGCTGTTTTCACTGTATTTTTGATCAATTAAATGCATCCTTGGAGAGCATAACAGACTTCTTTAAAAAACATTAAAAAACAAACAAATCTTACCCGACCCAAACCTTTGTTCTAGCTCTATATGTGTTTTTGAGTGCCAGTGCCACTATTATGTGCTTTGAATGCTTATGTTTTGATTGTTAGAATACAAAACTGTTCAAAATTACATAGACACAAACTGTCTTGGGTTAGCATTAGCAATCCATCTGACTCATTAAAGAGCGTATAATGCCAGTTGTTGTAGATTAAGTTTAATTGGCTCCTACTGGCTCCACAGAACAGTTGTCTAAGATGGCTCCCAGTACCTGCCCTCATCTAGTGCTGCAGGCAATGGCTGGACCTCTGGCGGCCGCCACTGCCTCTACTGTCACCAACCCCATGGACGTCATCAGGGCCCGGGTTCAGGTCATTTCCTTTGCACTCAGTATTAAATCAGACAACAGATATGAATAGCTGGTACGAGTGGCTGAGTGTGTTTACAAAATAAGGAATAATTGACTTCAGGCCGTTGAATTATTCAAAAAATAATGCACACCCGAGGTGGTAATGCGGTCACGATGCAAAGCTGAGTGGCTGTTACACCTCGGGTGTGCATTATTTTTCGGCCTGAAGTCAATTATCCCACTTATACTACAGTTACCACATCTCAAAACATTGTTCAGATGATGCATATCAAGATGTTTGTCAAGTTTTTGTCATTAAAACGCTCTTGTATGTAGGACTAATTTCTTACGCATCCAATCACATTCCTCCATTGCTAATTCCAAAAGGTCATTTTAGAGGTAATAACGGATGTTTGAGCCACTGATAGCAGACTAATGAATGATGGGGGATACATTTATGACTCGCTGAAATATTCGAAGACCGACTGTTTCCATCGACTGTCGCGGGTCTTAAACACCAACTGTGAATGCAGACTGTGAACTCAAACTGAATGCGCTGAACACGCGTTTGGGAATGATCAGTCAGAAGTATCAAATTACATTCATAACTGGCCTTAGTAGGCCTAAGTGCGTCCCGGTTTTATGCAGTTATTAGAGAGAGGAAAAGAGAGAGAGATGTTGAAATAATGAGAGAGAAAAGCATGTGCGTCAATATTATTATTTATTTACTAGTTAAATTTGTTTTAATTAATTTGTTCATTCTTGTTTTCTATAATTGACAGTAGATAACCCAATAAATGAAACACACAAAGCCCTTTTAACAAGTAGGCCTACCAATAATTATTTATTTGTTATATTATCAGGAATAATTACGAAAATCTGTGCAGTAGGACTATTCATTTATTTATATAGCCTATTCAGTTTAATTTTCTATTCAGTTTCAGTTCTATTATAGGCCACATACTTTATTTATTAAAAATGAACTGTATGTGTCCATTGATTGTGAAGTTAGACATCGGAAATTGCAGATCAAGCGCGTGGGGCTGCATGTTTTTTCTTGTTATGAATTGTATCCTATTTTCCGTTATTACAGTTAACTACGCACAGTGACATGGAACTGTAATGCAGTCAAACCTGCCTGAAACTACTTTAGCCGTGCGTTTCCCTGAAAATAATTGCACAACTTTAGAACGTTCTCAACCAATCAGAATCAAGCATTCAACAGCCCTGTAGCATAAACACGGATAACCAACACAATGAGACTGACTTGGCATTATATAATTATACTGTTATTTTTAAGTTGTTGTTTTTTTTTTTGTGCTCTTTCTACAATTCTCTTTCAGCATTTTTTTTTTGGGGGGGACAATTTTTTCCTGAATGTAATACCTGACACCTAACTATCTGATGGTTTGTTTGTGCAGGTGGAGGGCAGGACATCAGTCATTGAGACCTTTAACCAGCTGATCAGAGAGGAAGGATTCTGGGGGATGACCAAAGGCCTCTCTGCTCGCATCATATCCTCAACGCCTACAGCAATAGTCATGGTGGTTGGTTATGAAACTCTAAAAAAGCTCAGCTTACGACCAGAGCTGGTTGACTCCCGACACTGGTGAAAAAGAAATAGAAACTTTACAGTGTCTGTCATCTGCCCTAATACTCTTCCACTCCCCCTTATTGTTCATTTTTGCCTTTTAAATCTCTTGCCTTGTGATGCTTCAGTGTGACACTGCTGGTTACTTTTGGGTGATTATTGTGATTTAAAAAAAATGTTTTAGCTAATAATAATGCAGCTTTTGAGCTCTTTGTTACTGTCAAGAAAAAAATGCTGCTCAGGTTTTTAATCGGTGTAAGAGGCACAAAAGTCTTTCTTGAATGAGTTTTTAAAAAGAATGTGATCAAACAGATTTAATGTTTTATTTAAAGTATTTTAAATGTCTTCAGGTGTTTATATTCTGAAGGATATAAACAATATTTCTTTTAAGATATTTCATTTAGAGAAAACACTCCATTCGACTGTCCCCAAAATTGCATTTTATCCATAGTAGGTATAGTTTTTATTGTAACTAGATCTTCTAATGTGTACATGTTTTTCCTCTGAATATGCTTTCCATTGTTTTTTTTGGTGTTGGGATGTTTTAAGTTGCCAAAGCTGAGTAAATATATTCGAATCTCTTGATAGCCTATGCTGAAGATAATGAAAACCTAAAACTGATTACAAATGTATAAAGTTTATATATATATATATATATATATATATATATATATATATATATACTATAGAGCATAGTTCATAGTTCTCCCAAATATGAAAATGGTAGACTGAGTACAGTTGAGACATAGGTGCAGTTGAGACACCTTAAATAACTTGCGCGTGCAGCAAGCACAAGTTGTGATTTTTGCTGTGATTTTTGCTGTGCACATGCATATTAGTGTCCTCTTTGATCGTGGTAAATTTGAACAATGGATGCATCTCAATGAATGTACATGCCACAATGAATAGCTTATTATCCTTATGTGACTGTTATCATCACAAACGTTATTGGGTGACCTAAAAACTGGTATATTTCATGATATTGTGTCATGCAAGGTCACTACAAAATCTAGAGAAATGTGTGAGGTAGCCAGCGGGGTATGGTTGAGACGCGTGTATCAACTGTACCCCCGATACAGTCCTATTTGGAAACACACTGTTTAGTTGTGCAGTGTTATGATAAAAGTTTAAACGTCGCAATTAACCAGCATAAGTCACAAATGAAAATAAAATTTGATATTTGTGAGAATTAAAATATAAAATATATATTTACATAAAATATATTGTTTCTGTTTTATAAATGTATTATGTTTGCGATGAACGATTAGTTACCTTAAAGGAATAGTTCACCCAAAAATGAAAATTCTTTCATCATTCACCCACCCTCATGTTGTTCCAAACCTCTATGTGTTTATTTGTTCAGCTGAACACAAAGGAAGATATTTGGAAGAATGTTTTAATCAAACAGATCTCAATCCCCATTGACTTCCAAAAAAAAAAAAATTTGGGTGAACTGTCCCTTTAACATCATTAAAAGTGGGTGTCTCAACTGTACCCATATGTGGTACAGTTGAGACAAAAGAAAAAACACCTTATTTTTATAAGCTAATTGTGGAAAATATAGACTACTTGTGGGTATTATTGATTGATAATATCTTAGTCTACAAGCTAATGAAATGTCATGTGGCATGTCATGTGGAAATTCACTTTCTTTTCAGTATCTATTTTTGATCAAAACGCAAAAAGTGTCTCAACTGTACTCAGACAACCCTACTTACTGTCACGCTATTTTTCTTTCTTCATTGGGACTCATGAGGCAATAAGCTAAATGTTTGAGTTGCTCGCTTTTATGTAATGAAAGTGAATGGGAATTAGGGATAGCCTGGTTGGAAGGGGGGGGGGGGGTGTTCACCAAAGATATATTTTTTTTAACCTAGATTTTTGTAATCATTAAGGTGTCTAGAAAAGGAATTTTGATGTTCCCCACGCAAATTATTGTCCCATATGTGATTTTTTTGTCTCATCTTTTGTGTCCGTGCTTGATTTTTGGCTGCGGAAAAGGCCTACTAGGACTGTCAAGCTCTAAATGGACAAATTAGCATCACAATAGTACATCAAAATATCCATATTATACTTGTGCATACAATAGGTTTAAGGAATTGACTGGAATTAAAGTCATTATTCACTGCAAATCTTGCTTGTAAGCCATTTCTGCTACAATTCTTTTGTTGATTGGGGGAATGATGACAATGTTTGGGTGAACTATCACTTTAATAGTGTTTTAAACATATGATGCAAGTGGAGTGAATTGTGGGGCAATTAAGATTTTTTATTTATTTACCATATCTCTTATATATGCTGGCTGTTTGCAAGGCCTCCAAATTATTATTTACCTATAAATTTTGCATTGGCAACGTAACTGTATACTGCCGGACAGCGTTTAACAATCATGGTCATGGACTCCGTGCTGTGTGTTTCGACTTGACACCACTAGGGAGCAGTCACTTATAAAGAGTTAGCGGATGCTCTGCTCTAGTTTTATAGACATGCCTGATAAAGTCATGACAATCATACTAATTATATATTTAGCAACTGCTGCTCTTCTGTGGTGTTTTACTTGCAGGTTAATTGTAATATCATTTCAGCTATAGGGCAGACAGCAAATCAATATTAGCTTTGAATAATTTAAACTTGTCTATAGGGAAATCTGTGTTTATTTGTGTGAGCATCAACAAATGAATAGTTTATTGTATAGATACAAATATCAATACAGTAAAAACCTGAGCAAAGAATTCAGAACATTTTTTTTTTTACTTTTTTATCATTTTAAATAAAATGTCAAATATGATGTAATATTCACAATGTCAACAGGTATCAGAGTAAATTTCTGAAATGCTATCCATGCATAGCTGTTAATCTGTATATTAAGGACAAATAGCAAATACTATACTCCTCAATCAGGTGGCCTTGAGATTACTTAAATTATTTAAAATGATACAAAATAAACTGGTTTTATTTTTATTCACCTCCTAAACAACTCATATCTTATCTTGAATATATGAGAAATGAGAAAGCCTAATTTTAATAGTATGATTTCTAGAGCTGGAAAATTAACATACTTTTTTATTTTCACTGCTTATTTGTTTTCATTGGTTCAGCTCTGCTTCATGCTTTAAATATATTGTTTTTTTCATTACATAATTTCCCACTAATTTCAAGCAGTTAGGGAGACAATGTCTGCAATGTTTATTTTGCATAGATCATACAACAACATAAATATAGCTAAATGCACAAGCAATGGCATGCAGCGCACTGATAGGTTGTTATCTCTTCAACACAGCAGCAGAAAACCAAAGCAAGTGACCAAAGATTTGACCATTTAGAAGGAGTATATTCATTAGTTCAATTTCAGGGCAAGTGCGCTGCCCCCTACAGTGTGTTTGTCTTTGGGCAGTAGAGCTTCTTTCTGCTCTGATTTAATGATTAGTGCCAGGGCAGTGCTTCTCTAAAGCCCGAGGTATGTTTCCCTGCAGCTGCATTCATATGATGGTTCGTTGTGCTTCAAATCAAACTTAAGGGGTGAGGAAGGAATGATATTACACATTTCGAATCCCAAGTTTGCAAGATCTCATTATTTTTTTTCTGTCAGTTGGAAAGCTTTAAAATTTTGATCAGAGCAACCTTCAGTTTAGGCTCAACCTCAAAAGGTTTATTTGCTCAGTTGTGAAAAAACCAGACTACTTTTATACAGACTACCAAAACCACCAGACTACCAAAAATATAAACTTTGACAGTGAATGTAAAACACACAGCATGGCATTTATTCACTTATATATGCACGCTTCCCTAGATTTGAATGCATATAATTAAATCCTAATAGAACAATGGCCTGTTATCAGCATGCTAGCTGCAATATTTTGTGATTGGGGTGCAACATGCAGCTGTGATTAACTAATGCTGTGATAGGGTCTCCACCCTCAGGCCAGGAAAGTGCTGCCAATGATCAATGTCTCAGCCAGAACACAATGGCGCAGACTTCATCACTGCGGCCAAAACCACTATCTTGCGCCCGCAACGACAATGGACCGTTGAAAAGAGCATTACTGTCCTTTCACATTAAACACAATTTATGAAAATATATTATCTTTTTTTTTTTTTTTTAATACTTGTTGTTCTATAAAAAACAAAAGGGAATCCCGCACACTATCGATACTTGCAATAAAAAAGTATCAAAAAAATATTTATTAGCCGGTGTGCTATTTTGTCTATAAAATATTTATTTTTTACAATAATGTCATATTTACATTTATTAAAAAAAATTATTTACTTGTTTAAAGGTATTTTAAAAGGTTTATATTTTTGAGGTCTGCTAGAATAGAATTTTCTCATAATATACAGTACATTTCAGGATCACCTCTTTTCTCACAATGTCTGAAACGGTTTGATAAAGGATTTGGTCTCTAAACCCCTCCTTTCTGCTCTCTTTGGTAAGATATCCAAGTCTGTTGTGATTGGTCGGCTGCTAACAGCGTGTGTCAGAAACTCTATGGCCATTTCCTAATCTGAATTCCCCCTCCAGACACTCCTCAACGCTTGTATCCACAGTGAAACAAACAGTAACGAAGGCGTCAGTTTGACCGTATCAATTTGAGACTAATTCTTCCTTACAAGTGCATGCAAAGTGGATATGCTTTTCCAGAACAGAAAACAGCTTCTCGACACGTCGACAACACTAACCAAACTCTTTTAAGCCTCAGCAACTGCAGTGTTTGAGGGCGGGTCAAAGTAGACGTTCCTTGTGGGCAGCCAATGAAGAACAAAGGCTGGCATTATGCAAATGTGTAACGAACCTAATCTTGGAGGATGTTACAGTCAGTTTAGAATCGGTCCTTTCTTTTGGGAGACAATGGGCCTCATTCATAAAATGTTGCGTAGAAACCATAATACGCGTGATCTTACGATCATTTCTCAAATGTGCGTACATGTGAATCAGAGAACGAACATATGCACAAAAAAAGTGCATACGTCTCTCTTCCAGATGTGAAATCTCACAAATGATCTTGAAATTGTGCACAGCTGAATGGTTTCAGATCTCCACCTTATAAATGCCGGCCAATTAATGTCATTAGCATATAGAATGACATCAGCCCGCGTCCAAATCCTTTACTTGAGAATGGCAAGCGGCAAGAATTGCTTAGATTTCTAGATACCCTTGCCAACATGGAAAAGTGCGTACACGTGCTTAAACCCTGATGTGGCACCACATCAAAGACCGTTTTTACGAATCTTAACATTGGCACACTAAATGAAACCTTATTCTAAAGTGTTACCAAATCAATCTTAATGAAAGAATACTGCTGAGAGAAACGTTCAATGATAAGCATGGGAGATGGGAAGATTGCAGGCTGAGGTCTAAAGACTCAATCACTGATTAGTCAACATAGATAAATGATCAAGCAAAGATCAGATGGACGGGAGTTTGATGTACTGCTCTTCATAGTCAGACGCCCAGGGCATTGACGCATACTGTCCCACTGGGAGTGACTTCCATTAGGTACGTTTCTGAGTGAAAAATGACTGAGCATAATAGATACCCTAATGAGTCTGGGGGTCTCTATATCTATGACATCAGTGGACAGGGTGTTGTCACACTAGGCCATGTCTCTTTTGCTAAGCTGGACGGTGATGGATGTTCTCCATTAGTGAACGTCGACTGGTGATTTGTGATTTGATCTGGTATGACCTCAAACCAGGTCCATCTGAGCCCTGATGGGAAGCTTTTAAAATCTAGGTTGTTAAACAGACAAAAGGGAAGATGAAAACTTTCATTTGAAAACATGAATTAAAACATTAACAATACTTCTACAGCATTTATTAATCTTTGTTAATGTTAATCTCAGCATTTACCAATACATTTTAAACATCAAAAGTTGTATCAGTCACACTTTATATTAGGTTTTTAACTAGGATGTACTTCTTGTGTTCGTGTTGAATTTGTAAAACACTTGCCGCTATTGAGGTCGGATGGTTAGTTTTAACTTAACTGGGTTACAGACCGGTGTGAGGGAAGGCTTAACAATGCAATTATAGTAGTTGATTAAAATGTATAATTAAGCTCAGTGTAACATGTACACAATATAAGAGCATTGCATCAAATGATTCATTTAAATTTTAGTATCACTAATGATTAATGAATTGCTTTTTGTTACTTCTTGTTAGTTATTACATGAACTCATGAGAGCTTATTGTAAAGTGAAATAAAAGTACTGAAAAGCAACAGTCCACTGTTACTGCAATAACACGTCACAATACAATGCAAACTTTAAACGTTCTGCAGGTTTTTGAGGAACAATTGCCCTCCACATGATGGTCTTGGCATAGCGTGGTCTATTTCAAGGACCACACATTGGCACATTCACCAGGGCCTTATAAAAACAAAGGAGAGAAAAGATACATTCACACACAGCATAATCTAAAGGCCCATACCAAATCAATTGATTGATGGGACAAACAGTGGCTGATGAGGGTGTGCGAGCGAGTGGATGGGTCCGTCCCCTTCTCCGGGAGACTTCCTGGAGAAATGACAGAGTGCTCTCTGCCCTCTCTTTACATTAATTATCAACCGCTGTCTCAAAGGCACTTTGTCAAATGAGATAAATGAAACAACATCGGGACAGGAACAAATCAGACTGTCGAGCAGAGGAGGGAGGAGTTCAGCCTGGGGCCCCTCTTTCTCTCCTGGGGCTCCTGTCCTTCTCCTCTTGGGAGGCAGGATCCGGGATGAATGGGTCTTCATGGGAAATGTGTTGATGGTTGTTTTTAAAATGAGCCGTAGGTCGTTTAAAAGAGAAACAAATTGACAATCTAATGCATATCCTTGAGTATACACTCACAACTTCAACAGTCGCATATATTCGTGAAAAGTAATTAACATTCAGCACTTCGGAATGGTTTTTTAAACATGCACGGGCAGAAAATGAAACCTATTGCTTACATTTATATTCATCCAAAGGTTGCAGAACTGGCAGAATGATGAAAAGACTTTATAAGAGTGAACTGACTTCTTAAAGTCTTTAGGAGCTTTATATGAGAATAGATGCGACAGCTCGGATAGTATTAAAGCAATGAATTCAAGGATGTGAGATGAATGAGAAGCGCAAGAGAATGGCTCCTGTAAGCCATTACATCCATCTGGGCGGGAGGGAGGGACCACTGACGTACGTCACAGATGCTTGCTATCAGCAGTGGTCCAGGAGACAGTAGAAGAGACCGTGTGAGAAAGAGAACAAGAAAAGAGACGGGGAGACACCGACAAGTTCTTAGATCTGAAAAAATAAAAAGGGTTGGAGATCTATTTTGATTTAGAAGGGGTTTTTTTTAAGTTTTAACAGGTCAAGATGCCTAATTTTGCTGGAACCTGGAAGATGAAGAGCAGTGAACATTTTGAAGAACTCCTGAAAGCGCTTGGTAAGCGATCCTCTCAGTTTATCCTTCAATGCGTGTGTTGTAGGTGATCACTAGACTATTTTATCCTGTTGTTTAGGCCGCGTCCAGGATCCTCTCTTCTGATGCTGTTTCGTCTTCAATAGCATATTCATGGATTAACTAGTGTGTAGTAAATCACTATTATTTTCGGGCTGTTGGACTGCTTCTTCAGTCTCTTTTGTTTCTTTGACAGCATGTGTTGCCTGGATTCGTATTCAAATTCTCAAAGCTAGAGAGACAGTGCAAGAGATTTAGCAAGGGCACGAAAATGCACCCACTCAGTGGATTTCTCTTTTCTTCAAAATTAAATTAAATCTAATGGCTTAATACCAATAACCATTTTATGAGGCCCCCTGCAAATATGGTTTGGTCAAAGTTTGTTCAGAACTTTACACTACCATTCAACTACTTTACACTACCATGTTTCTGAGAGACGATTTTAATGTTCACAGAGGCAGCATTTATTTGATTAACAATAGAGTTAAAACTAATAATGTACAATCATTAGTCCAGTTTTCAGTGCCACATGATCCTTCAGTGCTCAATAAACATTATTATTATTGTTTTTATTATTGTCTTATTATTGTTTATGTTGAAAACAGTGGTGCTGCTTAATAGTTTTGTGGAAACCATGATACACTGTGGTTTAAAAGGACAGCATTTCTGTAGCCCTCAAACCGTACTAACTTTAAAGCCCTTAATCCTGTAATTGTGGTGGACAAATGTGGGCACAGAGGACACAGGTGTGATCCTAATTTGTATTTATTATAAATGTTATATCACTGTCTTCGATAAAGTTTTGTATATCCATTTTTGGTACTCTTCTTTATTTTGGGGGTATTTTTGAATTTATTTACTTCAAAAAGTACCATATTTTCTATGTAAATTGTGCTTATTTTTATGTTTTATTTTTTTTTCAACTACATTAAAATATGATTCCAATAAGTTGTTAGAGCTAAAACCTAAAGATGAAGTGACTTTGCTGTCAACTGATGTCTTATTTTGGCTTATTTTAGAATGCTCTAAATTACAGTTTTTCACATTCATTTCTATGGGTTCCCTTTTTTGACCCAAATACAAGATTAAGGAGGGTTTTTTTTTCACCCACTTAACATTGTAGAATTGAGTCAAGAAAAATTGTGTGTGTTCAGGAGGCAAACTTAGGAAAAGGAGCCAAGTATTGTACCGCTATTTAAAAGTATTTAAAAAAAAAAAAAAAAAATCTAAACTATTTTGCCGACATTTGTCCAGAATACGGTTTTAGGGTTAAAATGCAGAAATCTTTTGTAAAATTATAAATGCCTTAACTGTAACTTTGAATCACTTTCATTCTGAATAAAAGTATTAATAAAAAAAGTGTGCATATTAAGAAATGTCATCTTTTCCAATCAAAAAATAAAGTAATGGTGAGTGAAACTGATGCCAGAAAAGCCTCTAAATTGTTTCCAAACACAAAGAGAGAACTTTTTGGGATGGAGAGGAATGAGAATTGAAATATTTATGAAACTGATCAAACAGTTACTCACCCTAATAGTTTACACCACAATCCTGTGCCAAAAATGTACAATTAATCCTAGAATTTCAACATTGTCCAAGAAGGGACTATACAAGACCAAGAGCCGTGGCATTCCTTCCAGTCAACACCCTGTCATTACAACTCCTTATTTCCAACATCTGTTGATAACAATCTACTCTGTGGTCACTTGCAAACTATTTATGCAGAAAATGGCATACCACCGCTGCATGAATGCTTGCTTTGCCCCAGTTATGGCTTGGAAAAATGAACATCAGACACATTAAAATCATGAAAGCAGATCAGATATTCCCTTTTCCCCAGTATCTATTGCAGCAGATACAAATAAATGATGCAAATACCGTCTTTAGGGAATTATATGAAAGTGGATAATTACAGCACAGTCGAGAGTGATGAATGCTCATGGAGTTATTTGATTATTTTTTGCGTATAATAATCATTTTAATTGGAGACATTTATCCACTCTGTCTCAATGCATAGAGCTCAAAACATTTACATAAGCAAAGTGACACATTTGGCATGTTTTGTGCAATGTAGGCGTGAACGCCATGCTGAGGAAGGTGGCCTGTGCCGCAGCTTCCAAACCACACGTGGAGATCCGTCAGAACGGAGAACAGTTCTACATTAAAACCTCCACTACCGCGAGGACCACAGAAATCAACTTCCAGATAGGACAAGAGTTCAACGAAGAGACCGTGGATGGGCGGAAGTGCAAGGTAAAACAGCTTCGGGGTTTTCTTTTGTTGTGATCAATATTTATATTGTACGGAGGCGTATTGTACGGAGCCCCTCTAGTCCCACTTTGGTAAAAAAATGTAATCATAACTATCTTGTGGCCTCAAGATAGTAACTCGTGGCCTCAAGATAGTAACTCGTGGCCTCAAGATACTAACTCGTGGCCTCAAGATACTAACTCGTGGCCTCAAGATAGTAACTCGTGGCCTCAAGATAGTAACTCGTGGCCTCAAGATACTAACTCGTGGCCTCAAGATACTAACTCGTGGCCACAAGATAGTAACTCGTGGCCTCAAGATACTAACTCGTGGCCTCAAGATAGTAACTCGTGGCCTCAAGATAGTAACTCGTGGCCTCAAGATACTAACTCGTGGCCACAAGATACTAAATCGTGGCCACAAGATACTTACTCGTGGCCTCAAGATAGTAACTCGTGGCCACAAGATACTTACTCGTGGCCTCAAGATAGTAACTCGTGGCCACAAGATAGTAACTCGTGGCCTTAAGATAGTAACTCGTGGCCACAAGATACTAACTCGTGGCCACAAGATAGTAACTCGTGGCCTCAAGATAGTAACTCGTGGCCTCAAGATAGTAACTCATGGCCTCAAGATACTAACTCGTGGCCTCAAGATACTAACTCGTGGCCTCAAGATAGTAACTCGTGGCCACAAGATACTAACTCGTGGCCACAAGATAGTAACTCGTGGCCTCAAGATAGTAACTCGTCGCCACAAGATACTAACTCGTGGCCACAAGATACTAACTCGTGGCCTCAAGATAGTAACTCGTGGCCACAAGATAGTAACTCGTGGCCTTAAGATAGTAACTCGTGGCCACAAGATACTAACTCGTGGCCACAAGATAGTAACTCGTGGCCTCAAGATAGTAACTCGTGGCCTCAAGATAGTAACTCGTGGCCTCAAGATAGTAACTCGTGGCCTCAAGATACTAACTCGTGGACACAAGATAGTAACTCGTCGCCACAAGATACTAACTCGTGGCCACAAGATAGTAACTCGTGGCCTCAAGATAGTAACTCGTCGCCACAAGATACTAACTCGTGGCCTCAAGATAGTAACTCGTGGCCTCAAGATAGTAACTCGTGGCCACAAGATAGTAACTTGTGGCCTCAAGATACTAACTCGTGGCCACAAGATAGTAACTCGTGGCCACAAGATACTAACTTGTGGCCTCAAGATACTAACTCGTGGCCACAAGATAGTAACTCGTGGCCACAAGATACTAACTCGTGGCCACAAGATAGTAACTCGTGGCCACAAGATACTAACTCGTGGCCACAAGATAGTAACTCGTGGCCTCAAGATAGTAACTCGTGGCCACAAGATACTAACTAGTGGCCACAAGATAGTAACTAGTGGCCACAAGATAGTAACTCGTGGCCTCAAGATAGTAACTAGTGGCCACAAGATACTAACTCGTGGCCACAAGATACTAACTTGTGGCCACAAGATAGTAACTCGTGGCCTCAAGATACTAACTCGTGGTCTCAAGATAGTAACTCGTGGCCACAAGATAGTAACTTGTGGCCTCAAGATAGAGTTAGTATCTTGAGGCCACGAGTTACTATCTTGAGGCCACGAGTTACTATCTTGAGACCACGAGTTACTATCTTGTGGCCACGAGTTACTATCTTGAGGCCACGAGTTACTATCTTGAGGCCACGAGTTACTATCTTGAGGCCACAAGATAGTTATAATTAATTTTTTTTTTACCAAAGTGGGACTAGAGGGGCTCCGTAGTATTGCATTCACTTGAAGAAAAAAAAATGTACTCTGTTTTTCTGAATTAATGAGTTAATTTTTCATGAGAAAATATTTTTTTCTCTGTTTTTCTGAATTAATGAGTTAATTTTTCATGAGAAAAAAAGTTTTTGCTCTGTTTTTCTGAATTAATGAGTTAATTTTTTGTGAGAAAAAAAGTTTTTGCTCTGTTTTTCTGAATTAATGAGTTAATTTTTCATGAGAATTTTTTTTGATGAATTAATGAGTTAATTTTTCGTGAGAAAAAAAGGTTTTGCTCTGTTTTTCTGAATTAACTCGTTATTAACTCATAAATTACATTATTAATTAAATTATTGTTTATGAAACTGTTAAAAGTAACTTAATATCACATTTTAATCATGCTGATTTTTGGAGGAGAAAAACTGAAATGGCACTCTTCGTGTGATATTGATTAACTACATAAAATGATATAAATATATACATTTTCTAACCCCCAAATCTTGAATTTTGTGATCATTCACATGCATTTATAAATACATTTTAGGGTCTTGATGTTTGTCAATAATATGAAATATTTAATCCGGAAAGGGCAAAAAACAACAAAAAAAAAAACAAAACAATTGATAAATGAATGATAATCCACATAGAACCATTTTCCTAAAGGGTTCTTATTATTGAATCCTTAAAAAGGGTTCTGTATAGAACCTTTTAGGGGTTCCAAATACATAGCGCTGATAGAACCTTTTAAGGTTCTATATAGAACCTTTTCTTTTAAGAGTGATACTGTTGTAAAAAGCACTAAAGTCTGGGGTCAGTATTTTTTTTTTCAGCTATACATTAAATCGAACAAATTTGACAGCAAAGACATTTATACACTCTAAAAAATGCTGGGTTGTTTTAACCCAATTTTGGGTCAAATATGGACAAACCCGAAATGTTGGGTTAAAAATGTAATGTAAAAATTTAACCCAACGGCTGGGTTAGTCCATATTTGACCCAAAGTTGGGTTAAAACAACCCAGCATTTTTTAGAGTGTAATATCACAAAATATTTGAAATAGAGATTTCTATTTATTAAAGAGTCCTGAAAAAAAAATGTATCATGGTTTCCACAAAAATAGTAAACAGCACATCTGTTTTCAACAATTATATAACAAGACATGGTAACATTTTACAATTAGGTTAATTAGTAACATAAACTAAGAATGAACAATACTTCTTCAGCATTTATTAAGTTGAATTTCTTAGTTTATATTAATTTCAACATTTACTAGTACGTTATTAAAATCAAAGGTTGTATTTTTTAACATTAATGCACCGTGAAGTAACATGAACAAACTGTATTTTTATTAACTAACATTACCAAAGATTAATAAATACTGTAACAAATGTATAGCTCATTGTTAGATCACGTTAGTTAACACATAGTCTAATGTTAACTAATGAACCTTATTGTAAAGTGTTACCCAAATGTTTCTTGAGCAGCAAATCAGCATATTAGAATGATTTTTGAAGGATCATGTGACACTGCAGACTGAAGTAATGATGCTGAAAATACAGCTTTGACATCACAGCCACAAATTACATTTTAAATAGAATACATCAAATAAATGCAGCCTTGCTGAACATTTGAGATTTATTTAAAACAAAAGAACAAAACCAAATTCTTTCACCTGTTATTAAGGTCACAGATAGTTCGTTAAATTAGATTACAGGACACACAAGCGCATCAAAGCAATACTGCAGGCTTATCTAGACTAGTTTCAGTCACCCTTATGTCTTCCACCTTTAATCTCCTGGATTTAATTGGATCTGAGGGGATTCTGACTCAAGCGGTTGCACATTAGCACTCCATAAGATAATGTGTGCAACTGATGAGCACTGATATGACAGGATGTGTTTTTTCGTGAGGGCACTGAGTTTTCCTTCTGAGCCTGTCGACCCATCAGAGGCTGCTGAAAGGGCAATCGGCGGTTGCAGGCCGAGCTGTCATGTGCTGGAAATCCCTTTTAACAAGTTAACCTTTATGACTGCTGCCATTTAACGGGCAAATAAAAGTAACCACAGACCTGGCACACAATAAACATCTGTTTTTGACATAAATCGACACCCAGGCATTTTCTATTTAGATATTCGGCAGGGGCTATCTGGCATAATAAACATGAAATAAAACCTGTATTTAGTCATCCTAGATTTTAGTCAAGCAGAGAGGGTGAGTAATACAGATGAATGTGTGTAGAGGTTATATGTATAGCGGTGGTGGACATCTCTCCTCAGCCTATTACTTATGATTCACTCTCTCAAATCAATGGCCTAAGAGGTTTCAACATTCAATGGAGGTCATAATTCAAATGCAAATGGACAGAAGAATTCATCGAGAGTAATTTGAATGTTCTTCCCTGGAAATAACTTTTTTTTTTTTTCCAGAGTAGGCCTACTGTAGATGTAGATAAAGAAGTGCATCTTCAAAAGACTACCATTAGACTGTAATTGTCCACAGAGCCTGGTCACATGGGAGACAGAGAACAAGATGACCTGCACGCAAACCCTTGTGGATGGTAAGGGCCCTAAAACGTACTGGACACGAGAGCTGAGAGGGAACGAACTCATCCTGGTGAGGAACTTTTCCATCAACACAACTAAAAATCACTCATTCTGTGTCTGGCACCCTCTATTCTGAGCCGAAGGCTGCGTGTTTCAATCTGCTTGGCGATTACTAACACCCGTGATAATCTGCTCAAATTCATTTATTTGTTTGGAATAAATAAAAAAATAAATAAATAAATAAAAAATGCAACACTGGGTAAACATCTGGCCTTCTGTCTTTTATATATGCCAGATGGACAACAGTTAAACTGGCCTTATAACTGAGGAGGTTTTATTACTGACTTTGCTGCCCCTGAGGGACATCAAATGCCTTCCTCTTTCGCTCAAGTATCTGTTGTAAACTTTAAAGCGGATTTCGTAAAGACTTGTGATGGTGAAACACTGTGAAATGTTTTTTACCATTCTTCACATGGGTCACTGAAAATATGTGCCATGAAAATGAGCATTCAGTAAAGCTATCTGACACAGTAGCAGCTAACCTTGTGTGACACTCATTTCTGGATCACCTGGATCTTCTGCAATTTTGCTGAAAGTCATGCCATGACATAAAGTTCATGCTATTTATACGTAGTTTGATATGTGTTGGCCAAACTTAGAAGTTCACAAGGGCTCCATATAACACAAGTTATGACCGAGGCCCGATTTTGAATTCACTTTTCAGCAAAATGCAGTACACTTTAGTATGCCAATACTTTTTTTTTCAAAGCATTAGAAGCACAAACATCATATTTTTGTTGTGAGAACTATTTGTGATTATCACAGACAAGGCTTAAATGTACAGTGTGGGATTTTTAGCGACATCTAGCGGTTCGGTTGCGAGTTTGCAGCATGTTTGCACAAAGGGCTCAGCCCACTGCTCACCCCTCTCTTTCGAAGAAGCTACGGTTGCTAAACATCTCGTTGGCTGAGACAGCAGAGAATAGCCATAGTAAGAAGAGATATAACGTTAATTTAATATAATAATAGTAATCAGCTGATTATTTCACAAACGTAACCAGCACATGTATCCCCACAGAACTAACCCATAACACAGCGAGGGAGAACTAAGTTACATGAAACAATCCCAACTACATATTTATTTTACACCACTCAAAAAAAAGGAAAAGTCACTACTCACGGTGTTTATGGCTAGCTTCCAGCTTCCTGCTGCTTTTCTTTCAAGGTGAGGTAGTGTTGAAAGGCGTTCTGTAGCGCTGTTTGTTCGCGTTCGGCTTTGGTAGAAACATGACGTCACAATATGGCGACCCTCATAGAGGAGTAAAATAAAAAAAATATGAAAAATATATATATTTTTAACATTGTACATTTTCATAAACTCATATAACTTTTTCATGTTTTAGAAAAAAGAGGCTCTTCTGAAGGCATTAAGATCAATTTCCAAAAGATGATTTTTTAAATTCCTCTTTTTAATCACCTTTAGCATGGGTGTGTTCACTTGTGCTAAGCGCTATCTACCCATCTTCTGGGTTTCCAAAAAGCTCTTTTTTAGTTTCATCGGACTATGTCAGGGCCCTATATTGAAGTTCCAGTTGTGTCTGACAAATGAATGGAGTTTGGTTTTGGGGATTTGGAGATGTTGATTTGGCCTCTCAAACTCTCCTCCTCACCAAGCATCACGTCCTCTTTCTGGAAGATTCGTAACATCTTTAGTTGATTGGAACTTCTTAATAATTGCCATGATGGTGGAAATCGGGATTTTCAATACTTAAGTTATTTTCTTACAGTCACTTATTTTCTATTTTTTGTGAAGCTCAACAATCTTTTGCTGCATCAGATCATTGTGAATATTTATCATACATTTATCATTTATATTTATCATACATATTTGTCATAGCTAGACAATTTCATGTTCCTTCTCACCCTGGTGTGCTAAAAAATATACCGAGTAACAGCTAAATTCGCTGCTCTTTTACATATTTTTGCATAGTTTTATATTACTTGTATGTGTGTATTTTATTTATGTATGCATTTATTCTTTTGTCTTCGCATTATATTTAATGCTGGAATGCACGTCTGTTGAAAAAGTGACCTATGTACTCCTATTCATGGAAAGTTATTGCTAAATAAATGACCTCAACAGGGAAATACGCTGGAACAGCACAACTCTTATTTTTGGTCTACATTAATGCGCTAATGGACCTTGACACAGTTGGTGGCATTACATGATGCAAGACAATGAACAACTGTATTTTTATTAACTAACATTTATTTAAAGATTAATAAATACTGTAACACATGTATTGCTCATAGTTAGATCACGTTAGTTAACACATTAACTCATGTTAACTAACTACTGTTGAAGTCACATCTGTGTCTTATTAGGCAGAGCAGTGAAATGGTGATGCAGCCGGCTCACATCACAATTTCTTTCCACTCATATCTTTCCATTCATGACCAGCTGTTTTGTCACGAGCTGAATAATCATGCCAAAGTGTTTGACCAACTGCAGCTTATTTTAAAAATGTCTCGATGCATACGCAATGGTATTTGTGATTTTGTTTATTGAAATTAATGTGTTATTCTTATAAACCATTTGTCTTCTCTCTTCATTATAAATGGCTCACTTAAACTTTCCTTCATCTCTATCTGTTTTTCCTTACCCGAATGATTAATGCATGTGTGTTTTGTGTAAAAATGGCCACACGTTACCAAAAAGCTGGCATCATGGAGCAAAGTTACTGGCGGTGACCCAGAAAATACTTTGCAAATGTGTCTAATTGATCATGTTACATGTAGGAATGCTGGCGGTGTGTAGGGGCCTGACACTCCTCTCTCTAATGTCTCCCACGGCACCACCGCACACACACCAGATGGCCTGTCCTAAGACCATTTTTTAAAAGAGTGTGTGAGGTGGTCCTGCTCTCTTCAGTCTCTGGAGCGCAGATGGTGTATGGTGTTGTCAGCTGCTCTAGTTCTGTGTTGGTGTGATTTTCAAACTCGTAAATGGCAGAGGCACTTCCTCTTAATTCGATCAATACATGGGTCAAAGCATTTCAGTGATGCACAATTTCATACAAAAGTTAAACATAAAAGAACTTTTGTACCTTCATTTTAAGGGTGTCTTAATGACTGCAAATGAATCATGGCAAACGAAATGAACTGTGAATAACACTGAAAGAATGACTGAGTTCATGGCATCCTCTGTCTGTTTGTCTTCATTGCTCAGACCTTTGGGGCCGACGATGTGGTGTGCACACGGATTTATGTACGGGAATGAGCACCGAGATGAACTGGATGGAGGGATATTCCGGCACTTGCAGCTTTGAAGGAATAACATTTTGTTCATGATTAACTTGCACTGTGTTTTGTTAGTTGACACTTTCTTCTGTTCTAAGTTGGAAACCATTTGTGTGCATTAATCATTAGATTCATTTTTATAATGTTTCTTATTAATTATAGCCTACAGTACAGTGTTAGTGGTGGGCTACAGGACCCTTGGGGAGGGCCGCACATGTTGGGGAATTGAGTGATCCTGTTGTTAGTAATTATGTTCATGGTTATATCTGATAAACATTCTAGCACAGTTACAATGGTTCATTGCAGCAACGTCTCAAGAACTTAATTTAGGCCTACTTTACTTTCTTTTTCAGTCTCTGACCCTGCATGAAATAATAAAGACATGTACTTGTTAATGATGTGATTGTATTTTTTTGCAACCAACCAATTCTTTCTACTGAAAGATAATTGATAGCATTCAACTGTTTTTTTGTAAAATATTTTAAAATGTAATTTACGCCTGCATGCGGCAATTATTTGAGTCTTCAGAATTTGACACAGAGACGCACACACACATGCTCTCTCTCTCTCTTTATTGGGACATTCCATAGACATAATGGTTTTTATACTAAACTGTCCCATTACACTAACCCTACCCAAATATTCTGCATTTTTAGATATTCAAGACTTAATTGTGATTTATAGCCTAAGCTGTGTTACCTCATAAAAAGGTCAAAATTTATCCCCATATGGTCAAAATTTACTGGTATTTCTATCCTTGTGGGGGACATTTGGTTCCCATAACATAGGGAATACCACACCAGCCCGTTCTCATCCCAAGGCGTCATATACTGACGCTTTTGCCAATGCGTATACATCCAACGCACACGTCACCCTTTAGTGTCAATATGAGACGCAGATATATATGGGCCAGAAGGCGCCCCCTAGTGGTCTCACCCTAACCCTACCTCAGACCTAAACCTACCCATAACCGAAGTGTGTTATATTGATGCTAAAGGGTTCCATGTGCGTTGGATGTATACGCTTTGGCAACAGCATCAATATGTGACGCCTTGGGATGAGAATGCGTTGTATATACACACAATAATTAGTTTTTTCCAAAATATGAAAACTCAATAATATAAGACATTTGCAAATGCAAACAACAAACACATGGCTAATAGTTTGTAAAATAATCAAGGGTCAAAAGAAAGTGTTGGAATCTTACATTAAAAACATGTTTTCATTTAATGCTCTGAGAGTTATGGACTTGTAGAGCCTTTTATGACCAATTTTTCCAGAGACTGCTTAACTATAATGCAGGCTCAAATCTTAAGTGAATAATGAGACATATCGAACCCGCACCCCTTTTTATTAACTGTTGTGTTAAATTTCACTGTAAACTTGTATTACTCCATTTGGTGTTAAAATCTAAAATTAACACGAGAACTCTGAATAACTGCATGCTTCAGTGTTATGAGAGTTCGAGTGATGTTTTAGGTCACATTTCAGTGTAGAACATTATTACACTTGTCCACCAGGAGACGGTCCCCACGCTCCCTCTGCTGCCAGTGTGGAAACAGTGCACATTAATTATGCATTCTCATATTCAAAGCATGTGAACGTAATTCAGTGAGAAAACAAGCACGCATTATTGATCGTTACGGTTCCAGGCAGCAAGACACACGGCAGGGTAATCTACTACAATTCTGTTTTATTTCAATCTTTAAAACAATAAGTAATAATATAAAAGGGCTGTACATGAGAACATAGAAACATGCCATCATTGCCTTCTTTAAATATGTTTTACATATTTGTCAGCATAAACCAAAGCCTCAAAGCACACACAAATGTGCCCCAAGTTACATTTCCAGACTTCTCGTTATAAGAGGGCAAAATGGGACCAAACAGGATCGTTTCTAAGTTCTACTCAGAACACAGGCAGTGATATCACAAATTTGAATACAAGTTCAGATAAGGGCCAAATATAGCGTCATGAAAAATGATCCTATACAACATCTGCAACAACAGATGTCAAAACGAACATTTTTTGTGACTACATGAAGAGAGGAGACAGAGCGACCAGACAAAACACTTTAAACAAGTACTCCCTTTGGTAAGAATATTCAAAGTGTTTTCTTAAACATCCCAGCATTAGCCTCCCCCACTACGCGGATAGGGAAGCCTAAGATCTGAACTACGTAACAGTGAAGGTTGTCTGAATATAAACAGTCAGGCATATATATATACACATTGTATTTACATTACAAGAGCTTTTGTGACTGTACTTATTCTGGTGTTCCTGATTGACACGTTGTGGCTGGTATCTTGGATGTCTATTAATTAACAGTAATACCTTCATTAATGGTGCTGTAATTAACCAGTGAAAAGAGACCTTAATTACATTTCATGTATATTGCGAACAATAGACTAGGGAAATTCACATCACCATTCCTGGTTTAGCTGCATAGCCCCAAACACAGAGGCTTTTTTTTTTTTTTTTTTAAAAACTCAAGAGTCAAGATTTTATGTCTTCATCAGACATTTTCTCTCATTTGTTTGAGCATGTGTGTGGTTCAAGTGAACCACAAAAGATTGCTAATAAACTACTATTCACCTTGAGGAGATGAAAAATAACAAACGATATACAAATGGGCATGGATTTGACCTGTATTTGTAAACCACCCTTTTCACAAAAAGCCTCTAAAAAAAGACAACAGAGATTCTTATTGAGAATGAAACGAATGTCTGACAAGAGCTGCAGCATTTTCTTGCCCTCATGATTAAAGGACAATTACCAACTGGGTATAAAGTCCAGGAAGGGGGGGTAACGGGGGGTTGTTAAGACTCCAATCTAAAAATTTAAAAAGGTAAAAATAAAAAAAGAAAGTGAGCAATCTTCAAAGAACTCAATGACGGTCCGATTTTAATTTCAGTGCTACTTCAGTCATCATAAAAACAACATAAAAAGGAGGTAAAAGCCCCGCCTTGTTTTGAAAACTTGAGCTTTACAATGTAGTGCCATAGGTGACTTTATATTTGTTGATGTTCTGGAAGTGGACGATCTTGGGTTCACAGACCGTTCTGCAGGGCAGTAGCCCCTCCCGGCCCTCTCCCATCAGCCACTTGTGTGTGGCGGCTGCCATGTCGCTGGTCACATGATCTTTCCGCCACCTGTCCAGCCACGCCTGAAAGCGCTGATGCAGACGAGTGCTTACTCGCTGGTGAGACTGAAAACCATTGAGAAAAACGGAAATCAAATCATTGTAAAACATCTCAAAACAAATTCCTTTATCACATTGATTCTTAACTGTAATTACATTTGTAAAAAAAAAAACGTGAAGATGTGAATCATATTTTCCACTCAATAAACAGAATTAGAAGTGGTAACATTCTGGAATCACTAAATTTATTGGGATTGTCCACTCAAAATTTATAATTCTGTCACAATTTACTCCCCCCTCATGTTGTTCCAAACCTATAAGACATTCTTCTGTGGATTAGAAAAGATATTTTGAGGACTGTTGATAACCAAACAGTTTCAGTCCCCATTGACTTTCATTGTTCTTTTTAGGTCAATGGGAACCAAAACTGTATAGTTACCATAATTCTTCAAAACATCTGCTTAGTCAGTCATACCGGTTTGATGAAAGAATTGTCATTTTTGGGTGGACTATATTTTAAAATATCAACACTTCCAGATTCTGTTAACACAAATAATCATTTTAATATCATAAGATAATTACAGAGGAAATTTCTCATTCATTAAGAGGGCCTTCGAATATGGTGTTGGACATTGGTGAGCCCTCAAGTCTAAAAAGTTTGATCATCTATATACCTGATGCGCTCTCAGCTGTGCAGTGCGTCGGTACATGTAGTCCTCCGACTTGAAGACGTACACCATCTTGTAGGAGTTGAGCTTAAACATGCACTCCATCTTCGAGTCCTCGCCACCCTCAGAGGATTTCTTGGCCGTTTCTTTGACCTCTCTCATCTGCACCTCTTGACCTTTCTGGCACTTCCGGATTCGCCTTAGATTCCTTAAAAAAAGAAAAGGGCGCATTGTTTCATTAAAGAAACTTTCTGAGATTTAGTACAAATGCTATCAAACATGTTAAAGCTCAGTATCTGACAGCTTAAGGAGAGGAAGATCCTAATCTAAAAGAGAAATTATGCAACTGTCTACAGTGCACCTTGGTCTTAATATATATCATAAAATATCAACAAATACGATTATTTCCATTGAAAACTCATATCCATGGCAAATTCATATTGATCAAGTGCCAAATCAAGGTTTTGGGTGGATAAAAAAAAGAAAAAGAAAAAGTCAAAAAAAAAAAAGAAACCCGACAGTTAATTTCCTTGCTTCAATTAAAGACTAAAATTAGAAGTGTACTTACCAAAGGTTACAGATGTGAATGGGCATAGAAACCATGACTCTTATTTTGAATTCAGGACTTCACTTAAAGAAACTAGCCAATCGTCACAAAAAAAGAAACCAGGTAGGGAATTAGGTTAAATAGCCAGGATATGGGTTGACATTGTGCATTATGCATTGCATGACCATGCACTAGAAATGTTTGTTGCATTACTTTTCTTAGCAAAAACAGTGGTGCAATGTAAGCTACACAACCTCACACTGCACATAAACAGAAAAGAATCAATAAAAAAAAAAGAAATAAAAGAAATTGATTGTCTGAATCTGGATGGAGACATCAAGAGCATCTCTCCAGCACTGCACATAAAACATGCATAAAAACAAAAAAGAACAAGCAAATCAATCATCCTTCCCATGCTAGAGCTCAAACGTCTGTTGGAAAGAAATACACGCACATTTGAGGATAAAATCCAGACCAGATTTTTATTGACAAGCCCCTCTCTGAAATACAGCCGTGTTTGTGTCAGACCATGGTGAGTTTAATTTCGAGTCACAGCACTACTTTGTAAACTGACAACCCCAATCGAACTCGAGAAAGAATCATCTCTGAGATCTCAGCATACAAGGTCTACTCACTCAAATCTCTGACTATAAAAACATTTACACACAAGAATGAAATCAAGTTACATACAGAAATATATCTGAGAATAGAATTACACAAAGAGACCACACCACACTTTATATGAGAAAGCAAAGACGTTTTCTGACACCCAAGAGTGGGCTGTTTTAAAAAGATTGTGAAAACTATTCAAAGGAAAAAAAGTACAGATCTGAACAGAGCACTCAGGCTCATCTTATCTAAATGCAGTCTTCAGTCTCTCCCAAAGAAAATGATGACTCGACCGAACCCCGTTAAGAGCAGGCATTTAAAAACATCTTCCATTTTCTCAGATGATAAACATTAAAATAAAATGAATTTTTCCACCTCATTAAACGTGTTATAAAGGCTCAGCCGCTATTATATGCCCTAAAATAAAAAAGGGTGCACACAATTTCAGATGACACCTCTGCACACATTCCCCACAAACACACCATACGTACAATTCATAAATAAGCATAAAATAACCAATGTGACTGTATTGTGGCCACATCTGAGCAGAGATAAACAACCTAACAATGCGTTTTCATTAAATAAATTCTTAGTAAAGTGCTAATGCAAGCAGGCAGAGAGCTCATGTGTGTTTGGGTAGAAAAAAAAACAAAAAACAAAACAAAAAGCCAGGCGATTACAAACAGGCAGCACTTGTACAGTGTAACTCCCAGACATTTTCCCAAGACTACCGTAAGCATTCCTGGGATGTTCCTGTCTTGAGTTGATGCTTGATGGGAAGGGGGCAAGTGTAAAGGACTCATGGCTCTAAAGATGGGTGTACTTGGCTGAGCCTCACCTGGGTAGAAACACAGGCTTCTGGGACAGGTGCTCTCGCAGTTCTGGAGAGGCCGAGCTGGTGTTCAGATATCGCTCCACGTAGTCGGGCCAGCGCTGAAACACACACAGAGACATCCAAGGTTATTCTTACAAGATAAAGAGTCAGTGTTAATAGCTGAATACATTAATAATCAGCAGGATATCCCCTCGGCGTGACAATTCTGTGTATTGTTTTTCATTATTTCTATGAATGAACCTTGTGTATTATGCAAACACTTCATGTATTTCACGTTCTCTCTTTGTTGGAGCACAAACCCAAAACTGACATATCCAATCTAAAAAGAGCAAATCTAATGACATTATTTAAAAAAAGACCTTTATTTTATAGTCCTGTTCCCCATGTACATACTATGTACTTACTATAATTATTACAGTAACTGGGTAATAACTAGGTACTAACCCTAAAACCTAACCCATGTAGTTAACTTATATTACTAGTACTATCTTAGGTAAACTGTAAGTGCAAGTACTTTGAAAAATGGTAACCAAAACATTACATACATGTATAACACTTTAAGAACTAAACATTTGAATTATTAAGGGGTTACAATATAAAAACAGAAACATTTTTTATAAAAAAAAAGCCAATTTTAATTATTTTGCAGTATAATTTTACAATAAATATATTTTTTAAACATAATTGTACAAGTGAATTAAAAAGTATAGAGTGCTTCTTTGTCTCTCTCTCTCTCTCTCTCTCTCTCTCTCACACACACACACACACACACACTTACTTGGCTATCTAAATAGGGACGTTCCATATACATAATTGTTTTTATACTGTACAAACTGTCCCCTTACACTGACCCTACCACTGATCTATATAGAATGACATTTTATAGATCAGTGAACCTACCCATCACAGAAAACTTTCAGCATTTTAACATTAAAAAAACAAAACAAAAATCTTTATATACCAGATTTACAGATGAGAAAGGGAGGTTTTTAGAGATTTTGTCAAGTTTTGGTCACTTCTGGGTACAAATGTGTCCATACAATATAGTTAAGTGCACACACACGCACAGGCACACAGATGGGCTTCAGAATATAGAAAAGTCCAGGAGGAACTGTGGGACCTGATGCAGAAGTTGATGTACTTTGACAACCTATTTCTTCAATGAATGTCCCCTAGAATTCTGTGTGGGTCATTAATGTTGGCAAAATCTGCTGAAGGCCAAAACAGTTCAACACCACTGCCTGATTTCATGGAAAACTTCACAGCAGCCAATTCATTAGGGTCCACTCTCTGTCACCATCCCGACAATCTCTGTAGGCCCTAAGGAAGGATCAGTAGTTCCCTCCATTCAACAAGTAGCACCTTGTTGTTTCTGATCCAGTGGATACTGCCACAGAGAAAGTTCCTTTGCAGCATGTTCAGGTGTTCGGGACAAACTTATACTGCATCCCAAACATTGCCACAAGCCCGAATGAATTTATGAAGGAACTCCCTGAAGAGTGAGAGGCTGGTGTAAGAGTTGCCAACAAAAAGCTTGTAGTCAGTGACCAACATTTTTTCATGCTGTAACGAAGTAATAACTTAAATGGTCTGTGCTCAAAAAGACGTCTTCTCTCAAATCCCAAGCACAAATAAGTATCTGCCAGGACAATTGTTTTAGTCACCTTTGTGGGTTCATTTTTTCATATGCTGGATGAAGATCTGGATCTGGAACATTCATTTATCAACCAAAATCTGTAAAACATGAAGAGATCTTGCAGGGATCCACCCATTCCTCATACTAAACACGGACAGAAATTTTGTGTAGGCCATGATTTGTGCCAGAAATAACGGCATAATCTTGTCATGGCATGTCCTTTCTTAGAGCCATTTAGACAGTGTCAGAAAACTGCCCCAGTTGTTCATACAGTTCAGAAACCAAGATCTGGTTCACATCCATTGTCACCTCTCTTCTGACGTGCAACAGGAAAGAGCAAGGAGGACACGGCACATTTTTTTTTGTTTTACTCGTTTCCCCTCAACACCTCATGCAGCAGCAGGCGGCACAGATGTACCAGATGTTGTTGGAAACAGCGACGCAGCAGAAATGGCGAAATCTGTTCCTCTGAAAGATGGATCTCAGCCTTCAGGAGACGAGTCATCTGAACGCCTATTGCACAGCACAGAATATAAAGGAATAGCACAAGTACCAAATTTACTGACAACCACATTGGCAGCAAGTTATCATGACTGGTCTGTGCATTGCAACACTCATTTTGATGTCACATTATGTGGTCCATGCCCCCATGATTTTAAAGCACATTTCAGATCTAGTGCTTTAAAAACTTGAAATAGCACATTTTGTTTGTCAAAAATATTCATGTCTCACCTCTAATAGTCTTAAAGAACCTTTCAGAAGGTGATGTGTTCTTGCATTTCGTTGTGCTATATTTTGTATTCTTTAATGGCGCTTTTCCACTACACAGTACCGGCTCAACTCGCCTTTGTTTGGTTTTTCACTGTGTAAAGGTTGTACCTGTACCTGCTTTCGGGTACTTTTTTTGTTTCTCCTCCAGCGAGGTTCTGAGCGAGCTGAGGCGACACTAAAAAAAACACTGCCGACTGCTGATTGGTCAGAAAGAATAGTCACTATTCTCTGCGTCATCATTGCACGCGCCACATGGGGGATCCAGAATAACCCCGCCATTTTTAAATAGTTTGGCCAGAGATAGTTACTAAACTCACTACTATTATTATTATGGCAACTCGGAAGAATACGGCGTGGTCAAACGAGGAGGTGCAGACTTTCCTTTGTTTGGTTGCCGAAGAGAGGATCCAGCGAGAGCTTGATGGGGCAACAAGGAACGAAAGGCGTCGCCATGACGACCGGATACTATTTGTGGAGGTATAATCTGCTATTGAAAACGGAGCGAAAAGCAAGCTGAGTCGAGTCAAGCTGGTACTGGAAATGGAAAAGCACCATAATTGTTGGTTTATAAAAACATGCAATAGGGACAACTTTTGCTGTGAAGTAACTTTTCACCACTGTGAGCGAATCTTGGGAATGTACCTCAGTATCCACAGGTCCATCCGAGTTCTCTTCCTCTGTGTCCAACAGCTCCACAGCCAGCTGCACAGTCCCCTTAGACTTCTGGAACAGTAACTGTAATACACACACATAATAATTAAATGTAATACACGCCAACTATAATAATGATATACGTATTCAGCCTGTGAGATCTCACATAAATTGAGAGACAATATTAAATCTTTGCACTTGTACAAACTCATTTGTACAAACTATTGAAAGAGTCAAAGATGCAGTTTTTCTTATACATTCAAATAAGTTTTCACCTAAAATGTTGAGAAAAAAATACATTATGAGCTTTATAGATGCATATTTATATACAGTACACAGGGCTCCAGGATAAAATTTGAAGTTCTACAGATGGTGGGAATTGATGGTTAAAATTACTATTGTATAAGTAAATTACTAATAGTAAGTTACTAATAATATTGCATGTTTGTTTATTGGAAATTTAACAGTAAATCACTGAGCATGAATTGAGATACAGATGAAATTGACTTATGAAGCCAACAAGTGCTCCTCTGCCATCATCTTCTAGTTATAGTGGTAATTTCATGTTTATTTATTTATTTTTTATAAATATAAAATAAAAGTGTTTGCCACAAAGTTTTAGTTTTATTTTTCATCCATTGTGAATGTTGGCGATTTGTGGATTAAAAAGCCTTTTATAACCCGTTCGTTCATGGCACAATGTTCCTCCTGGTTTCCACATCAGTGCTGTTTGATCTGATATGGTTTATAACAGAATTCTGTGCCAAACTTAAATGCTCCTCACTAGATCTCGCTGTGATGTTATTAATGCTGCAGCAAATTCAAACGTTTTCTCACAGGATCTTCCAGCTGTGTAGGAACGTGTCGGGTGATCAAAGATCAGCCCGCAAATACCTGTTCTAAGCTCGTGCTCAAAATTTCTATCCAATAGAAATGGTGGCGTTTATCAGTTAGGCAACGAGGTGTTGGCACCAGTGCGATCTTTAACAAAACTGTTGCACCGGCAGGAAAAAAGGTCGCAAAATGTGACCATTTTGTCACAGTCTGGAGCCCTGATACACAAACAAAAGTGTGGTCAAACTAAAGTAGTTAAATAAAGTAGAGGTGAAAAGAGGCAGCAGATAACAGTGACTTTGAGAGATGCGGTCATTTACACAAAAAGCAGTGATTTTAGTCGATAAAGCATCCTTGACCGATAGCTTGATGGATGGTCTATTGGCTTGCTTGAAAAACCAACAGAAAGATCTTATCAGCATTTCCCATACAACCATCCTTTACGGAGACTTCAGCTTTGTCACTGTCAATACAATTCTAGTACAAAACAAAAACACTTACTTTCTACAAACACACCATAATATCTTCCCTACACTACTGATACCACTTCCACCCTTCTTGTGCATACTGCATAAAACTACAAAAGCCCAAAGTGCACTTTGATTTTGACTCAAACATTTAATGTATGCGTAAAATCCAATGTGTAGATTTTTAAACGTATATCCTATTTGATCGGGTGCGCTAACACAGGCACACGACAGATTCACACTGGAAAGCTTCATCCTTGTCCAGTGCCAGCGTTATTTCTCTCCAGAAGTTGAGTAATGAGTAATAAACATGTCATTGAACTCTCAACTCATATGTGTTTTATTGTTGTCATCTCCAGTTTATTGTTGCCACCTTGTGAACATACTGGAAGAAGAAAACATTCGAGGCGCATATAGTATGCGAGCTGCACATACAGAGTATTCTTATTACGTAGTATATTAAATTTATTATATAGTATGCAATGTATTCTGAACACATTTAGTAAGAAAAAAAAATGTGTACACAATGCATGATATTGGCGTTACATGCACTGCACACGTTGGTGTATGCGTAAAAAATGGTATACTTTGGGCTTTTAATGTGAATCTTTTGTGGTAGTTTTATCCATACCACTCCAATTCCATAAACAATAAAGAAGTACACAGTGTGTCTAGGTAAAGTAGAGAGATAGTCAAACCTTAAAACAGTTCTCGTCAGACATCAGCTGCTCGGCTTTGCGCTGGTAGGAGGTCTCAACACTGCCTCTGGATGTTTGTGTGGACAGGGACCCACCAGTGGCTTTGTTGGTACACTCGGCAAGGTAAAGATCAGTCACCTGTACACAGATCTCATCGCTTACTATATGTTGCAGCTGTGGGAAATTGAAAAAGAAAGAGAAAGTAATTAGTTGAGATGAAAATGCTCACTGATACACTTTGAGGGAAATTGAAGAACAAACTGGAGTGAAACCAAGTTCTTTTTGGTGTGTTTTAGAGGTTAGCCTGCCAAAGCAAACTTTCCGGAAAAGTTCGCTCCGACTGGTAAACACACGAACCACCACTGCTCTGAGGCTTTGCTTTCTTTGACGTGGACATCTCCTCTGGTTCATTTCTTCTGTTTAGTCCGTCCAGGTCATTGGAGAGCTTGTGCAAACATCCACATCGCTGTGATCAGATTTGTTAACTGCCTTTTTAACACTGCTTTCATTTTTGTGGTGAGTTTATTTTGTTATTGAGAGGAAAGCACGTATATACATATACATCTAAACTAGGAGTGTGCACGCATTCGAATTTTCAATCTGTAATTATTATTCGAAAAATAAAATACTATTCGAATTTTACTACATTGCTTTGCTGGCCGTAAATGCAGTGAATCCATGATAAATCCCAAGCACCAGCTCGCAGTGATAATTAAATACACTGGGTGGCGCTGTGGAGTGCGTAAACAAGTAGTGTGTCTTTGATCACATAAAGTTGTCGTCTGCCACGCAAAGTTTGGTATTATGAACTATCTTACTAAATGATTTTACAAAATGGAATTACTTTTGATCAAATTAATTCATTAATCCGAGTTATGATATCATCACCACAATGAGAAATGAAATCCAAACATTCGAATGAGGAAAGGCCGCTGACCATCACTGCATTTACGATGGTGCAGGTAAATGGACCGCAGCTGGACCCCGTGTCATCCGAGATGACAACTTATCTAATAGCAAAATGATTTTGAGACACATACTTCCTTTAAGTTTCGATGAGGGAGACAGAAAATGCAAAGTGCTGTTAGAAACATAGAACATTGATATCTTTTTGTCTCTGAAGCGTCTGTCAACGCAGCGCCTTTTCTCACTCGAGCATAAATTGCCGGCGGCACCCCTTTGTGGATATTATTGTTTTTCTCAACATAAACATCAAACAATATAAATGATAATCATATGCTGAGTCGAGTGTATGTGTACGTTCTGTATGATATCTGGCACAATCTGCTTTATTAGGCGTTTCTTTCTGTTCGCGCTGCTTGACCATGCTTTTATTAATGCTTTTGTTTTTTTATATTTTTTGTTTACACATAGGCCAACTGTTTAACTAAAAGAAAACTTTAACATATACTGTAAGCTTGTGTATATTGGCTAATCATAAACTTGTTCAGAAATGGTGACAAAAACGTCATGTCTTTTTCGATAAACGTCATTTAAATAAACGAATATTCGATTTTTATGAGCCTGAATATTCGAATGCAATATTTTTGAAAAATGCCCATCCCTAATCTAAACAAAACTCCCAGTGGTGTGGTTGGCATCGGAATGATCACTAACAGCATATCGCTGCAAAGGTTACTTCTTTTTACCCCTCAGCGATGAAAATATGAGTATGCTGTGAGTATAATGGGGCCTAAAAGGAAGCTAAAGCCAAAATAACAATGACAATACAAGTAATACAATTAAAAAAAAAAAAAACCTACCTGTCTCACTATACTCTGGACGAGTTTGTCCATGGTGAAGGCAATGTAGGCATGGATGGTAAACATTTCCCTCAGCTGGTCTTCGTATTGAGATGTCTCCATGTTGCCATCCAGAAGGTTTCGCACCATCTCTAAGAAGGCAGAGTAGTAGTCTTCAACATCGATGTCCACTGCAAAACAAACAAGACAATTTTATTTGATCAAAGTCAAGCAACTGCATTACCAACAAAAACATTACAGCCAATCTGTGAGTCGTTCAAGTAGTTTCCATGGTGATAGCGCCCTGAGGGTTGCGGGCAAATCTGAGAGAAATATCATTAGCTCTAACATGTGTTAAGACCCTTGAGAGAGACTGGTGATAACACATCCTCCTGTCTTCACAAATTTAGGGCATCTCGCACCTTGAATGAGTTCTCAACCTTAAAGGATCATAAAACCACCCTCTTTCAGCTCAAGTCTAGCTCACAATCTTTTTGAAAAATGCAACTTAAATGGGCGTGGATAGCTGAGAGAAGAAGCGAGGGGAGTGGGTGTGGTATGGCCATCACTGTCATCGCCAATGTCCCATGCATATCGACTGTCACTAAAAAGCAGTGGTAAAACGTCAGGAAATGCTAAATTTTTTTATTTATATTTTTATTTATATTTTATATAGCTGGCAAAGTTAAAGTCTTATGAATTACACTTAGACTTTATTATTGTCCTTTCAAAAGTAACTGAATGCCCTGCTAAATATATTAGCCTACAGTAATCGTAATTCTATTTTAAACATATTAATGTAGGCTACATGCATAATTATAATGTCATTATAAAATATATAGTGGTTTAAGACACTATAAATGCTTTTGAAAATTGTTAATTTCCCGCTTCAAAAAAATCATTCCGTGCATAGCCTAGATCTATGCGCCCCCTGAATCTCCATAATAAAGATCGCTCTGCGGAGGTGGATGACTCCTCATTTTACACACACACACACACACACACACACACCTCTGAATGGATAGAAAAGTCCTCGGGATACCGCATCACTCGCAAGACGCAACTTGGATTGGTTGTCAACAAGGCGAAGTCCACCATTCTCAATAAAGATTTTAAACCCGGACGACGAAAAAAGCGTGAAAAAACTCGTCTTCAATGGTGTTCAACACACATACCTCGGTTTGGTTTGGTTTCATTAAAGCCCAATTTATACTTCTGCTTCAAACTCACGCCGTAGCTACGTCATAGGCTGTGTGTAGTGGGCGAACCCTTCGGCGTAACCTGATGTGCAGCTCTCCAAAATTGCGCGTCAACACGGACAACGACACAGAAGTATAAATGAAATCCAACGCGTAGTCTAAAACGTAGAGCTCTGACGCAGAAGTATAAATCAGCCGTTACACAAAACCAGTGTGAAAATTTAGTGAAAAGGGGAATAAATTCATTTAGCAAAATGAACAGTTGTGTTCTGCTCTGTAATCTGCAACTTACTGGGTTCTTTCAAACGCAGCTGGATGGCCGGGCTGTCGTTCTTCTCTCTTTTCAATCCCAGTACATTCCTTTCCCACTCCCTCTCTCTGGAGTCTTCCTCGATCTGTTTTTCCGCCTGCCCGTAAATCCGGAGCAGTCGGGAGCACAGGATCTGGTGCAGCCGAAGGAAGATGTACCAGTTATTGTTGACAAAGAAGAGGTTGTAGGCATCGTCACAGTTACTCAGCTTCTGCTGAGTAGCTGCTGTATGGCTGAAGAGGAGCTTAGACTTGGCTGACGTTGTCCCATTGTGCTTTTTAGTCCCGTCTTCATCTTGTTCGGTCTCCTCTTCTTCCTCCTCCTCCACATCAGAAAGCTCACCACGCCGAGCAAACAGCATGTCGGGGATGAAATGGTAGATGATCTGCTTGATTTTATACTTGTCGTCTTTGTGGATGCCGGACTGCCTCTTGACATGGTGGATGATGAGAGCAGCTGCGTCCTCCAGGATCTGGCTGTCCTCGTACATGAGGGTCATGTGAGGGCCTGAGGGAGGGGCGGCATTGTCTTCAGAAGCCTGCTCCTGTCGCTAAGTGGATGAAAAAGGCAATTTTTAAGCATCCTAACAACAATTACGATGCCTTTCATATTTGCGTATGTACATTTAGAATGTTTCTTACCTCATCATAAAGAGACTCGATTTCATTGAGCAGCGTCTTGGAGCGAAACACCTTTGTGTCATTTTGTTTGAAGTTAATACCTTGGTGATCTAAAGACTTCAGGTAATACTTCTCATTCTGTTCTCTCCAGATCTTATTAAAGCCACGCTGAGCCTCTCGCCACTCTTCTTCTTTAATTTTCAACCTGAGAAGACAAACACACAATGAATTCTGTGAGGAAAACCTGAAATATAAAAGAACTGAATAAGACAGCTCTCCCTGTCTGAAAAAAAGTGCATAATGATGCTATAGGATTGTAATAACCTGGTAAATTACTAAGGTACTACTAAGCCTAAAGTTTTGAACTGCCTAAAGTAACTTTTTTTTGTGCAATTTGACAAAAAAATCCAATTGCGATACATAAAGGTTTACCATCTCATATTTCTGCTGCTTGGATATAAAAAAAAAAAGAAAAGAACAAAAGCCGTAATAATCACAGTGAAATAACAGATCTCATATTCAAACAAGTTTGGCTGCCAATAACAGGAACAATAAAAGTTACTTAATTTATATATTTTTTTATTTTATTTAGAAACTTACTGGATCAAAATGTGGAAAAAACCTGGTTCTTCGCATTCACATCCTACTTGAATTTGAAATCAATCAATCAATCAATCAATCAATCAATGATCAATCATGAAATCCATTTGATGGGTCTGGATCAGTCTACTTTGTACTCACACTGTTATTTCTGTAGCAAGTAAGCTAACTTTATATTTAGCAATACATTTTGGTCATCAATTCTTCACTTTCACAAAGCAAAACTAGACAGACTCTAGTCTTTAGTTTGGTTTTAACAGAATGAAGAACTGGTAGCTAAGAAATGTTTTAGATAAAGTCAACATGGAGCACTTTTTTTCAAGATTTTGATCTTAATTTGAAAAACTGTGGAGCCCTATATGGTAGTGAATAATTACCACATTAACGTACTATGCTGTAAACATTATACTCAAAAGAAAACTACCAAGGTAAACGTTAAAAGATATTTTTTTAAACCAAATCCTTTCCTTTTTCATGCAACAATGTATGACATTTTTATCGTTTTCATGAATTTCCTGGGAAGAAGTCAGAAAATAACATTTATGCTGACCTTTTGAGTACAATAGGTACAGAGACAGCAGGGTTGGTCTTGAGCCCATCTATGATGTCTGGAGCTTTGTCACCATATATCCTCTGAATAGCTTTACGGTGGATGACCTCAGAGGAGCCTCCAATGGTGTTGTCCAGTCGGAACTTGGCTTGTTCCTCAGCAGACATGCGCGAGAGCCTCTTTTGAACAGACTCCAGAACACGGATAGTGGCGAGGTTTGTCTCCAGAACCACATCAAGCTTAGTAACACATGACATGTTTGATTAAGCACCAAACTGAATATCCAATTACACCGATTTCTATGACAATGAAGCTTTGTTTTATTTCTTACCTCAAAGCGCTCATCTTCACATCTATATATATGCTCTTCATACTGGGTCTTTTTGGAGCTGACAAAGGTTGAGTCCTCAGACCAGGATGGAAATGACACCCATGTATCATTCAACACCTGAGAAGCATTCAACATTAGCATAGTGCTGTCACAATACCACAATTTCAATACACAATTATCGTGTTCAAAAGAATATTATTATCTATCGACAAAAGAAAATAAAAAAATTATTTGGCCAATGAATCACACTGAAAATTCGAGTGTAGGGAGGCAAAGTTTCTAACTATAAGTGTACAAAATCATATAAAAAGAACTGATCAACACTTCCTGCAGACTACAAAAAACACCCACAATGGCAAGGTAACTTCTTTCAGCTTTAAATATCTAGATTATCATCAATACAGGTATATAGACACCCCCCACTACCCCCAACTACCTACAATCTGATATTTTCCTCCAAATAGATTTATAAGTGCCGAGTTAGCCTTGAATTCAGAAACAAAATCCTTTTGTTGTCCGAATGGTGTACTCACCTCTTTGCACAGTGGAGTCCTGCCTGTACATCTAGGCTGCTGGAAGCTCTTGGGAAGGGCTCTATAACTGGAGCCCAATCTCTTGCAGGACGCATAATCAATTTCCATTGCAATGCCTTCAGTGGCTCGCTCTTTGGGAAAGCTCTCAATATGGGAACACTCTCTGTAGCCGAGGAAGTTCTTGAACCATGTAAAAAGCTCCGGGAATTTCCTGAAAACCAAAAACAAGCAAAACTGTTAGAGAAAAGGTCATAATATTTATTACAATTTTAACAAGTAATAATGTGTAACGAATAATCTTATTGGTTATATTAAGTTATAACTATATATAATCAAATTAAACAATGGCTTCATAAAATCAGTCTGCAAGTGTTTCACAGATTAAATTAATTTGAATTCCACTCCCCCAAAAATGGCAAGACCAACTGCACAAGTTCAGCCCGTGAGATCACTTCTTGGTTGAATATGACCAAACAGCGTAAGAAATTGTCATAAGCCTCTGAACTCCGCAGTGCTTTCCTCACCTAAAAAGAGAGTGGAGCATTTAAGCCATATAACTCACTATACTCCTAGTAATATTTACTGTACCAACATAATGCTGTTGTATATTCCATTGTAATCAGTGCAAGACTATATTGAAAGCAATCACCTTTTCAAAAAAGAGAGATTCAGCACCAATTCCAAGTTTGCTGGCCTCAGCCATCGATTCTTTTGCCATAAACTTTTGCTTTTTCTGTTCAGGAGTAAAAAAAAAAGAAAGAACACAATTATTGGTTGATAATATGTATATAAGAACAGTGTAAAAGAACAGCCATTAAGTACAGTAATGTCAAGTTTTACTCAGTCACCTTAACGGGAGGTGTAGTGGGTGGCCCCGAGTGTCTGCGGATCTGACAGCCATTCTGGTTAAAACTCTGCTTATGGTTAGGTTGGGGTCTCTTGACCGTCCCTGCGCGTTCAATTCGCACAGATTCAGCCTTCTCGGCTGTCGTCTTACTCAATAACTGAGGAGAAGAAAAAAAAGGCTTATGAATAATCAGCTAAACGAGCTCCATGATTTTTAGTTTTCATAATACAGTACTTACCGCTGAACTGTTAGCATCTGGCAGGAACTGGCCGAATTCTGAGAGGAGGTCCTCCTGGTTCTTGAAGAGCTGGGCCACCTGAGCATACACCTGCTGCTCCGTGAGAGTGGGTGTGTAGTTTCCTCCTGCCTCCTTAGCATTACGCTGCTCCTTCTATACAACACACAGAACAGAAAGTTTACAGTAAGCATGCAGCATGAAGAGCTGTAAATTACTTAAGAAGTTTGGGGTCAGTAAGACTTTTTATGTGTTTTTGTAAGAAGTCTCTTAGGCTAATTTTTGTATCTTATGTCTTTTATGCTGTTTTTTTTGATTATTTATTTGCTCACAAAACAGTAAAACAAGTAATATTGTAAAATATTGTTAATTACAAATAAATGTTTTATTTCAATACATTTTAAAAAGCAATTTATTCCCATGGTGGGACTTTTAGCAGCCATTACTCTTCATTAGCTATGATTCCATCCACATATTTTAAGCATTTTGGGTTATCATGAAAAAAAAAAAGATGGATGGAAATGCCAAGATGCACATAAATTCTAAAAAAAAAAAAAAATAATAATAAAAAATCTAAATCTAAAAAAGAAAATGTATACGATAAGAAAAACTATGACCGACCTAATAATTTCCTTGATGTGCATCAAAAAAAGTCCTGTGATTGTCACATGTTCCTTCAGAAATCATTCTAATATGTTGATTTGTTACTCAAAAAAAAGTCTTATAACCAATGTTAGGGTTAGTCATAGGGTTCGTGAATAGAAAGGAGAACAGCATATATTTGAAATGGAAATCTTTTCTAACAGTATACATGTCATTCCTGTCATTTTCGATCAATTTAATGCATCCTTGCTGAACTGAAATATTAATTTCTTTCTCAAAAAGTAGAACAATCTTACTGAGCACAAACTTTGACAGTAGTGCACTTATCTGAATAAAAAGGTTGGTTGTACACAGCATTTTGTAATGGATATTGCCCTTAGTGCCTCAGCTCTCTCACCTGGTATGTGTGCAAAATTTCCAAGAAGGATTTGTAGACCTCTGGCTGGCCCTGAAATCGGTTCTTGATTTTGTTCACGTAGCTGATAGCATGGTTGAACTCTACAGGCTGGTTATTCTGTAGAGGGGTCGAACCGGCAGTGCTGCTACTGATGGGAGTGTGGGACTGGGCCGAGGGCGAGCGCGGGGAGGCGTACGAGGGAATGGACGGATTAGGCTGGCTCGTTGGGGTAAGTGCAGGAGACTGCATTGGCTGTGGAACATAAAACGTATTTAGACAACTTTGCAAATATACAACCCAAATCTGTACAGAAGGTAAAATAATTCAGTTTTACCTTGCTGATCTTGGCAGGGGTTGGCTGGCTAGGGATGACCACGGCAGCAGTGCTGGTGGGAGCTGCTGGTTGGGTCTGGTGCTGTGCTGGCTGTGTTATGGGGAGGTTCTGGACTGAGATCCCATGCGGGGTTATGTGGTGGATCTGGCCAGGAGTGGTCACATTAACCAGATCATTGGTCTGAACCTCAATCTTGTAGCCAGGAGGCAGGAAGGTGTTGAAGCCCATGATTAAGTCTGGGTGACCTTTGAAGAGCTGGGAAACTCTGCTGATCACACCTGGTGTATCAATACTGACAACACAAGGACAGTAGATTTATGGTATTTGATTTGCAGTGTCCTAAGAATCAATCCAAATGTCCAAAAACACATGATTATAACAGTGCATAACAGTGTTATGTATATTACTTTTTTCTAAACTTGTAACACTTAGTATTAAACATTACAAACACTATATTAAATAATTTGTAATCATGTTATTTAATAATAAAATAATTGATAACTATGTATTATGCAGGTAATTTGTAGGAATGTTAATGGTTAAAATCTCCAATGATGGATTAAATGAATAAAACCCTAAAAAAATAAAAAAAGTCCCTGATTGTGATTATTTAACCATCATTATTAACCATTATTAGGTTTTTTTTAATAGAACTGTACTTTTTAATAGAATTGGTGAACACTGATGAGTGTGAAGATCAACTCTAATTCAGCATTCATATACTCAGATCGAGAGCCTGACCCCTAAACTTAAAATATTACACTTCTGCTGCCTTGCAAAGCACTAGTATTTCCTATTTGGAAATGCAAATCTATTAGGGGTCCAACAGATCATTAGAAAACTCATAGATTGAATCATATTACAATTGTTTTGGACCAGAGAAAAAACTAAAAAACAAGGGGGGATATATGACTTTGCATTCTATTTATTACTTAAAGAACACTTCCAAGTTGCTAAATTAATACATTTCAAACATTATTAAAGACAAGTGAACAATCAGTAATAAAATAAGAACAATTAAATGATAATTCCAGTATTTAACACCTAGAGTGGTGGACTTAGAAATTTTGACAAAGGGTCCTGTCTCGAGTTTTTGACTTTTTTAGAATCGCCTGTGACAGCGTTAGACATGCCCATAGACAGCCAGTCTAAAGCTGTCACAGGTGATTCTAAAAAAAGTCAAAAACTCGAGACAGGAGCCATTGTCAAAATTTCTAAGTCCACCACTCTATTTCATTCAAAACAAACTACAAAATAGACTCAAGGTGTTAAATACCGGAATTATCCTTTAAATTTCATCCTTGTTAAAGCTGTCTTTTTATTAAAGGAACACTCCGACTTTTTGGGACTTTAGCCTATTCACCTTACCCCCCAGAGTTAGATAAGTCCATACATACCTTTTTCATCTCCGTGCGTGCTATAAGTCTGTTTGACGCACCCACCGCTAGCCTAGCTTAGCACAAAGACTGGATGTGAATGGTTGCAGCTTTCCAAATGAGTGGCAAAATAACGCAAACGTTTTTCTATTTACATGTTGTGATTTGTATAGTCACAGAATGTACAAATAACAAAGTCAAATGAGACACTGACATCTTTTAACCGTATAAAACCTGGGAACTATTCTCTGAAGGCGAAGCACTGCTACTTTGACGGCGTAATAACCGCATCACCTGAGACACGCCGTGGTGAGGAGCGGAGAGTTCGCTCAGTGTTTGGGTAACAGAATCAGCAATTTATAAATAGTAAAAGCGTAGTTTAGAGTCATTGGTTTTCGCTCTATTGTAAATAGCTGCGACAGTAAACAGGGGAGGTAATACCATGTTTCACAGAATTCCAACTAAAAACGCTGACTGGATGAAGAAATGGCTAACTTACTCTGGATATTGATCCAAACACACCTAAATAGATTATCAAGGGACATTATGTTTGCTCGGTAGATTTCAATGGACGACTATTTTGAAAAAATGGAATTTGCCACACGGACCATAATGTGCTGAAGGATACGGCCATCCCATCTATAGCACAGACAGGACAAGTGAATCACCTGCGGCTGAGGTAAGTGTTCCGTTATGTTTTTAGATTATGACCTACTGTAACAGTGCCATTATTAGCCAGAGCTAATGTAACGTTAGTGACACTATTATATGATTAGGGTATGAATATGTTTTTATCTTGATGCGGTGCGGACGCGCTTGGAAAAAAAAACGAGCGCGTTCACCGCGTTGAACTTGCACCCTGCGCCTAGTAGCCTAAATTTGAAAATAACCATGGAAATAACGAACTTGAGCGTGCAAAAGGGTACGATAGGCTGTGAGTTCATTGTGCAAAAACAATTTGTGCTATTACTTTCCCCTTATTCTATCCTATAGTAATGCAATTATACTGTATATTATATACTGTTGAATACATTTGGTTCAGCTAATAAATTGCATTTAAAATATATTGATTCCTGTAATAATAATTATTTATTCATGTGATATTTATAAATCTGGGTGCGTTTTTGGTTGGAAATCAATGAAACATGGTACTGTATTACCTGGTCTCCCCTGTTTATTGTCACAGCTCATACAATAAAGCAAACACCCATGATAAACTATGCTTTTCTATCTAACGTTAGTAATTGCTGACTCTTTACTCCAACACTGAGTGAACACTCCGCTCCTCGTCACGGTGCGTGTCAGGTGATTGTTATCACTCTGCCCAAGTAGCAGTGCTTCGCCTTCAGAAAATATAGTATATACGGTTAAAAGATGTCTGTGTCTCATATGGCCTTGTTATTTGCACACTCTGTGACTATACAAACCACAACATGTAAATAGGAAAACGTTTGCGTTATTTTGTCACTCATTTGGATTAGTATGAAAGCTGCAACCATTCACATCCAGTCTTTGTGCTAAGCTAGGCTAGCGGTGGATGCGTCAAACAGACTTATAGCACGCACGGAGATGAAAAAGGTATGTATGGACTTATCTAACTCTGGGGGGTAAGGTGAATAGGCTAAAGTCCCAAAAAGTCGGAGTGTTCCTTTAACATTAATGACACAGACAGCAGGAGGTTTATTAGGCTGCTGTCACTTTAAAGCAACACTAAGAATTTTTAACTTAATGTTTTCAAAATTGTTTCAGTGGTTCATCAAGTCTTGACATGGTGAAATGCACTTATGCCACCGCTTTGCGGGCCTTTATCTGATGAGCTATGTAAGATTGCCAGACTGGGTCGCGTTTCTGTAGTTCTAATGAGGACAATTCCATTTCAAATTAAGACCTAATGCACAGATACAAAATAACAAAACATCCAATTTCTTTTTGTTTACATTAAAGGTCCCCTCACATGGGGTTATTTTATTATTTTATAATGTTTCCTGGGTTGCCCTTATAATGTATGTTTTTTTTTTTTTTGATCAAACATAGTCATAATTTAGAAATAAAAGG